AAAGGTCGACCCCGTGACGGCGCAGACGATGACGGTGTCGAAGAAGACGCCGAGCTCCTTCTCCTGCGCCTCGACCTCGAACGCCCACCGGGCGAAGCCCAGCCCGCCCAGGGGGTGGTCCGAGGCCCCCGCGGGGATGTAGTAGGGCTTGCGGCCGTCGGCCTTGATATCGTCCGTGAGTTTGGCGAGGGCCTGCTTGTGCTCGATGCCGAACGTCTCCGTGTTGAGGTGGACGGAGCCGCCCATGAGCCGGGAGAGCTGGATGTTGCCGACCTTCTCGTAGCCCGGGTCCTCCCAGTCGACCCAGTGCTCCTGGAGGGTGGCCGCCTTGAGGCCGAGCTTGGCCGCCACGGCCGTGACGGCGCGGGTGTGGTTTGACTGGACGCCGCCGATGGAGACTAGAGTGTCGGCGCCCTGTGATAGAGCCTCTGAGGCGAGGTATCTGTTGTAACATGAGGTTAGTACCAGAGAAGTGATCCGAGAGCTCCGGCAGAGCGGCGTGAACTCATGGGGCAAACTCATGAGGAGCAGAGGAGGGTTTGCCTTACTCTAACTTTCGTACTTTGTTGCCGCCATAGGCAAGACCGGAGTTGCAGTCCTCGCGCTTGGCATAAACATTTACTTTGCCTCCGAGTGCAGCCGAGATTCGGGGCAGTGATTGGATTGGAGAAGGGCCAAAGAGGAAATTCTCTCTAGGGATGGCAGCGAACTTCTCTGGAAGGTTGAGTGAAGCCATTATATATGAGTGTTATGGAAGCAAGTGTGGGTATATATCTATATAAGTATGGATGTGATTCTTTGTGAGAGGTAGTTTATGATAATACAGAGACTCCAAAATCGAGAGATTCACCCAGGAAAGACGGCCATATAAATACAACGACCGACAGCAGGGTGGAACCGACCTGGTGATGTTGATGAACTTGCTGGGCGCGCCCTACATTTAGCTTATGGGTCCAAGGCCCCATCTAACAGAGATAATATACCGTAGTAGGAAAGTAAGTGGAATGTCAGTGACGGAGGCGATAACGGAAGCGCCAAAGGTGGAGATGGAGAGAATGGGAGAAGCGGGGATATGACCATTCTGCAACATCTCATCATGAATGTGCGTGCTATATACGGATGGGTAGACCTACATGTTGCATTATGCACGAGCACCTCCCTTCTGGCGGCTCCCCCTGCCCCGTCCCAAAGCCGCATGTAGATGTCTGGCTTACGCTTCCAAGTGCCCAAAAGGCTTGAATTTCCCCCGTGTCGCATGACTGGGGCCGAACCTATCATGTCGTGACGCTCGCGAGTCATGGAGTGACATCCAAACCATTGCCAATTGCGACATTTTCTGGTGCCGCATGGGAAGCACGGATATCATTATCAAGCGTCTTCCTCCCCTGGTAGTCGCCGTACGGGAGAAATATATCCCCAATATCACCCACCTTGGTGTTGTCTCGGCGCAAGGGGATGTGATTGAGCCTCCAGTCCCAAACGGAGGCATATACCATCCTGTAGGAACATACAGCCATCGTCGTGCCAATTATTGCTCCAGCGATCACATCGTACCAGTTATGAGAGAAGTCTATAGTAAGACTTCCACCAACAAGGATCGCACCCAGAATTGGGAGGTGGAACAAAATCAATTTCCACATAGCAGAATGCTGGTTCAGAGTAGTAAGCCAAAGCACGGAACAAAGAGACCCCAAGATAGGTAAACGGAAGTCCATGCCTCGTTCTCAACTTACATGGTCAGCAAACAGCTTCAACTTGCCGTTGAAATACAGGGACAGGAAGACAAATCCAGCAAAGACCGCCGTGGTGTGGCCAGACGGAAAGGACTCGAGAGAGTCGGAGACATCCCACGAAGTGCCCGTGCAAATGTCCCTCGTGAAGTAAAGATTACCAAATCCGTCTCCGTGGCGTCTCTCCTTGTTGCTATCCAGATTCCAGGCACCGCCCATCTTCTCAGCATATGCAGCCGCTACTAGCCGCATATCCGGCTTACAAGCGGCAAGGAAATGGGGCCGGAGACCGCCAATGAGCCACTTGAGGAGCGCCTGGAAAGCCGCGGCCGTGACGAGAGAATACAAGAGCCCCATTATGGCATTGTTGGCATCCCAGAAGGACCGGTACCGGATCTGCATAGCCAGGATGCATGTGGCGGGTATGCCGGCGGCAAGCAAAGTGGCGAGCCAGATGGGGACAATCACCTTGCGCATTGGGTAGGCGAGTTCGGGGAAGACAACCTGATCGTCTGCGGAAGTAACTGCAAAGTAGCGGGTTGGCACTGGAGGCAATAAATATGCCTAGGGATGCATTGTTAGTTTTACCGGCCCCATCTAATGAAAAGCCGTAGGGATTGGCGGCATGGCTGTTTGAACTTACCATTTGTCCAACTACACCAGTCACAAGCATTGTAACTATATCAACCCAGGATTGCTTGATCCATTGGCCAAAGGTAGGACGAGTGGTCATCGAGGAAGCCTCTCTGATCTGAGGATCTCGGTTGTGGTGACATTGCCTGCCCAAGAGGGGCTCTCTTTCCCCGACATTGCGACTGACACGACTTCCAAAGTCGTCCATGTCTCTATACAAATAGACGTCCAGAAAAGGACAATCGGGTGTTCAGTGGCGGCAAGGTTGGTGTAAGGGGAAGAAGAAGCGTAACGTTGTGAATTCAAGGGAGACCACATGATGCTGCGATAAGGTCAGTGACGTCATGGGACTGCCACCTTTAAGGGCCCCTAAAAGTCCAACACTGAGTCTTGCCAGGAGAATCCTCGAAAATCGAGAAAATTATCATGGCTGTGTCTGGTATCTCAGCACACACGCAAAATAGAAAGAAACACATGGGCCCCCGATGAACGAGCATGTGGGATCTCAATCAGATCGTGTGGGCCTCCTGTCTCAAGATGTCGTACAATTATCGACACGTGCGTTCAACACCCGGTCTTGTTATCGGGGCATCTGGGATCTGCCTGGCCGTGTACTATGCAGGCTAGTCTAGAGCATGCTTCCACTGACTTATGAGCTAGAGAAATGCACTACACCCTGGTGAAACTCTTCGGAACCTTCACCACTGAATTGAATAAACGCTCGCAATCCAATCATTAGTTGAACTACATTCAAAGATTGCATCTCGACGGGTGCCGCCTTTGTGTTCCAGCTTTGACAAGCCCAATTTTCGGCTCTTACCCAAGTGCTGAGCAGTGTATGATAAGCTACCCGTCCAAAACGAGTGCCAGCAAGCGAGTCAATTGGACTAGCCATCTAGCCATGGGTCTCCTCATGGTTGCTTTTGACTCTTGGTCGCCTTTGAGCACGGACTCTGACAATGCATCAACAGATTCCGGAGCTGAAAGCCAGTCGGGGTTAATGAAAAAAAAAAAAAAAGGGTACATATGTCAGCATAGCATGTTTTCTTTTCCCCGGACTTGTGGAAGCAATCCTTTAATCATCGGTCGTCATATCCCACACCAAAGTGGATATGATTGTCATGGATCAGCTGCCCAAATTTTACCCTCTGTTGGTCGACAATAGGCAAACAATACATAGACTCAAGGCGAAGCGCCACTGCGTAGACTCATCTCATCACAAGCCAGGTAGCAAACCTGGTTGTTCTGCAGGAGATTATGCTCTCCATCGCAATGCAGTCTAGACATCCAAGCAATCAAGCCCCTCCCCGGCAAGGACCAAGATAAAAAGAAAAGATATGAGGACAATTACAGCTGACGGTTTCGCCTATCTGACGGGTATTTCAAAACTTAAAAAAAAATTCAGCCACGTTAATGGGGTAGGATCATTACTAGGGAGGAACTACCTACCTAGGGCATTATTATTCTTATTCGCAGCTCGGTAGGTGTCGTTGTTCCAATCGATCCATGTGCCGGTTCACTACATACCTGGTCGTACACCGACTCAAAGGTACCCTAAGTTGACCCCTGCAACTAAACCAACGGGATTGAGGTGGAGTTTTCTCATCAATACCGGTAGCGTAGCAGCGAGAATTGCCGTTTGTGTAACCGGTACGTGTTGACGGCTGTTGGTCTCGTCGACGACGGTGCTTGCAGCCCTGCATGGCCTGACTTTCCCAATTCCCATATCTCTGCAGGAAAACACTGCTTGTGGCACGTAGGACATGTCAGACAGAAACGAGTTCGCTTCGATTCCATCTGCTTCCGCTTCTTGCAGGATCCCCGACGCAGGAAGCTGGCTGAATTCCCCCAAAAGCAAAGTGAGGTCGACTATACCTTGCTCTGGGATGGTGTGGCGAGCAGCAGGGGGATAGATGTAGGGAAGCGCGTGGTGAATGGCACACTACCCCCTACTAACGCCATAATTAAAGTGGCAATGGAGGAGAATGAAGGTAAAAAAAGAAACTCACGTATAATTAATTGACAGGTCCAGACCTTCAGCTTTAGCTGCATGTCTGGCACTAGCGGCCGGGTCACCGCCTTTCCCATTTGAGCGCGTTAATGGCGAGGAACAATCTCCCGCCAAAGACTACAGGCCATTTACCTGTAGTGGCAGCATCACGCTCCTGTCCCGTCCCATTCGCTGCCATCTCCAGCTCCAGATCCCCTCGCGTGTCTCATTTCTGCTGAACCCAGGCCTGGGTGCGTGGCGGCAGAATTCTGTGCAGCTGATCGCTCGTTGCTCCCCTCTCTCCTTCCATCCCGGCTGCCACTTTCACACCTTGCAGATTCCACTTCGCGCGTCGACGGTCTTTCTTTCCAGATTTTGTCAGCTTCTCTCTCCACCGCATTGCAACCGTGCCCAAAACCCAAATCTGCCCCGCACGTCTTTTGACCTGAAGTGCCGGGCTGGGCTTCCAACAAAACGCCCAGGATATATCTAGAAGAAACACCTCTTGCGCTGTTGTTTTATCTCTGCGTAACTTGTAGTGCTGTTTGCTAAACAAGGCCACCCGTCCTGCAGTCCACGATTCGTACCGCCTACATGACCTTCCACTTTCCTGGTGGGAAACGTGGGCGAGTCTGCTTCCAGGCGCCATGAGCTCGTTTCGAGACAAATTCCATCGCCTGGACCGCGGAAGTGATAGGAGCCGTGAGAGGGAACGGAGCCCTCGTGACCGCGACCGAGATAGAGATTACGACCGAGATAGGGACAGGGACAGGGAGAGAGAACGCCGTGAGCGACACGACCAGAGACCACATTTCATGCGCAAAGATTCAGGATTTTCCGATCGTGATAACAGGGGAAAGGACGATCGTCCTCTACCATCCCGTCGTCAAGATGGTGGTATTCGAGTATCTACTTCTTCCCTCGCCGGACATCAGAGTGCAGCGTCAAGCCCAAGAGACCAGACGGTCCTAGACAAAGGTACGGCCATCGAGAGATTCTACCATCATCCCATGTCCGTCCGCTAACCCACCACGAAACAGGCCATTCAGGAGCCACCTCCTCGCCGATTACAAAACAATCTTCCACGTCGAACCCTCCCCAGGCCAAGGATAAAGATGCCGCTGATATTCTTAACTTGGTATCCGAGCGAGCAGCAGCCTACAAGCAGTTCCACGATGCTCTCGTTAGGGAGAAGAAGTGTCGTGAATCAATCGAAACTGTGGCCCGCTCAGAGTTCACATCCGAATTCAACTTGTTAAAGCAGACATTGAATCAATCCAAGGAAATCAGGACGAAATATCAACGCAAACTAGATGATTTGGACCACAAGTTCCCTGCCCTCCTTTATACCATAATTGATAGGCCCCGGAAAGCCACTACTACACCTACTTCTACTGCTCCGCCCGCCTCCAAATCTGCAGAGACGTCTACGACTACGACTACAGCTACATCTACGCCAACGCCGACGTCGACGACAGCAAACATAACTCAACTTGAAAATCGGCTCAATTTATTGCCAAAGTCGATTGAGTTTTCTATAACGAAGAAGATGGACGACAAGGTTGATGCCTTAGCAAAAAGGATGGACGACAAGATGGGCGACAAGGTTGATGCCTTAGCAAAAAGGATGGATGAAAAGATCGACGCGATACATTTGGAAAAGTCAACGCTGGCCCGTCGCCTAGATGAGGAGACTTCCAAGAATAAGGCGCTAGAGGAGAAGCTGCGCGATGTCTCAGAACAGCTGGACCAATCCAACAAAGCCAACTCGGAGCTTGCCTCTGAGTTTGGTCGTTTCAAAGAGGAACTTAAAATTCCTGAACTTGATGAACTCCGGCACACCTTCAAGAAGCAAGACCAGCGCATGCTCACGATAGAATCAAAGCTAGAAAAGAGTGGGAAGGCTGCAGGTCCAGGATACCAGGAAGTACTCAAGGTGCACTCCCAACAGTCGGAAGACCGGATTAAGAAGATCGAGACACTAGATCGTCAGATCGAGGCACAAAATCGCCGAATCGAAGCACAGGATCGCCGAATCACGGAATCGAGAACTAAGCAGGATCAAAACCAGAATTGGACGATGCAGAAGATCGGAGCTCATGAGGCTCGCATCAGTCAGTTGAAAGCACAGCAGGAGACTGGTCAATCGTGGGCGACACAGATGATCGAGGATCAAAAGACTCACATCGGTCAGTTGAAAGCACAGCAGGAGACTGGTCAATCGTGGGCCAGGCAGAAGATCAAAACGCAAGAGACCCGTTTCGACGAGTTAAACTCACAACGGGAGAGCAGTCGATCATTGGCGAAACAGAAGATCGATGATCAAGAGGCCTGCCTCAAAGAGTTGAAGGCACAACAGGAGAACAGCCAATCGTGGGCGAAACAGATGATCGAAACGCAACAGACCCGTTTCGACGAGTTGAGAACACAGCAGGAGAACAGCCAATCATGGGCGAAGCGGATAATCGAAACGCAACAGACTAGCTTCGACGAGTTGAAAATACAACAGGAAAACAGCCAATCATGGGCGAAACATATGATTGAAACGCAACAGACTTGCTTCAGCGAGTTGAAAACACAACAGGAGACTGATCAGTCATGGGCGAAGAGGAAATTTCAAGGGCAAGAGACTCTATTGGACGAGTTGAAGACACAACAGGAGATTGATCAATCATGGGCGAAGAAGAAATTTCAAGAGCAAGAGACTCTCTTGGACGAGTTGAAAATGCAACAGGAGACTGGCCCGTCATGGGCGAAGGAGAAATTTCAAGAGCAAGAGTCTCTCATCAACGGGTTGAGAGCACGACAAGAAGCGGCTGAATCACATATCAACGATAACCGGCAGCAGCTTACCAACCTCAAGACAGAAGTTGTCTCCCACGCCCAGCAGTTAACGACGCAAACGCTCATACCAAAAAGGGATCCCGCCGTGGATTCATCACTCAATGAAGGCCTACGCAACAAGTACAAAGTCATGCAGGATCTTTATAAAGAAACTGCAGGAGATCTCCGAAATCTGGAGAAGAAGCTTGATGAGCTGGGCAGCAATTTTGAGCAATTAAAGCGTGATCCTCGACCCAAGTCGCTGACTCCAGCAGCGTCAAATGATGGAAACAACCCTCGAGGCTTCTCTCCTCGTATGAATGGCGAAAACTACAACCACAACTCGGACCTGAATGCAACTGTTCTCGGGATTTTGGAACCCAAGATGAAGGAATATGACAGGAAGTCCAAGGACAAATTTTCAGACATCGCCACAAAGCTTGGTGCCTTTATTGACCACCAACGCCAGCGAATGGAGGAGAACGATAAGAGGTACAATTCCACATTCGATAGACACCAGAGATCCATTGACGAATTGGTTATCGAACTGTTGCCACTGAAGGACAAGCAGGTCAAAGAATTCGAGGATCTTTGGAAGGAGATCAATTCGCAAAAGGGTATGATTCAAACACAGATGGCAGATCTCGCCGTGACGCGGCATCAATTTCAAAACAAGTCCTCTGACGACTCGGGCCGTCTCGATGACTTCGAGATGCAGATCTCCGACCTCAAGATGTGGCAGGACAACTTCCGATCAACGGAAATGGTCAGAACCATAACGAATCATATCAGCAGCACGATGCCGAATAGTTTCCATGCACATATAAAGGCCTTGTTCGATCGAATGAATAGAGTGGAGAAGATGGTAATGGCTTCCAGCGACGGTGATTCGATCAAGAAGCGTAAGGTATCCAGCGGCGCAGCCTTCGTGGTCAATGGCACCCAAGAGCAGGCCGCACATGGTTAAGGTGAGCTAGCCGCTGGGCTGGGGCACAAAGGACCAAAGGTGCGTTGGTACTCTTTTCTTCTTTTTCCCTCTCAAGCCTTGATTTGGGGGTGTTGATGAGAGAGACCATCAAACATGCCCTTGTCCTGTCGCTCGCTCGCGACCCTCAAACTTTCATTTAAGAATGTCTCTTTTTATTTTCTTAATTTCCGGCGAATTGCATTTTTACAAGCCCTGGAGTCTTGGTCCTTTCAGTCTTGCATGGCCGGCTTTGTTTCGACGGCCCAGGTTGCGGAATGCGTATGGATCTTCTGTTTTGTATTTGCGAGGTTTCCGGGGGCCTCTTTGTTTTTCACCTGCCCCCTTCTCATGCCTGGAGTTATTTGGAGTTGACAAAGAAAGTTGGCGCATACGGGTACTCGGACGATATGTCGATATCCAAAACTCATGATCCCCTCCCTCTTCCCTTTCCCGCCTTCCCTTGTTCCATCTCTTGTACGAGTCATGTCGAGCAAATTTCACTTTCTAACGGTCGAGGATATGCAAATCCTCTTGAAAAGTCTTTTCTCCCCAACATTGGTCGAATGGGACGGGGGTTCTCCCTTTTTTATGCTTGTCGGAAAACCTGGATGGTAGACAGGATGGATAAGTTTATGAATACAAGGGAAAGTGAATATAAAGAGTTTCTTGATAATAAAACAATAAATCTTAAATTTGCTCATTGCCTGCTCGTGAGATCCATCATTTAAGAAGGTTCCCTATCGTAACTGAACAAACTGAGGCAGATGAATATTCAATCATGTTGTTCTACACACGGGCTCCAGTACAGTCACGGGTGCAGACAAACCCAATGATGGGCAAACGAACACGACGGGGAATTGTCAACGGTCAGCCTCCTGATCCAATCGGTTCATGTATTTACTTTTCTAACTGTTTGCGTATTGTGCTCAGCCTGAGTGGGCTGGGAACGGGAGAATCCATCCCGATGTCAAAATCAATGAGCTATCTTCCTTTTCATTTTTCCTTTTACATCCTATCATAGTCTGTCAGTATACATTCCAAAGGGGCAGGGTGTTCAATTACTAACCTCTCCAGAGGCGTGAGACCAAGCAGGCGCATGCCATTGCTAAGCACGATGCGGGCAGAGTTGTACAGGGCCATACGAGCCTTCATGAGCTCTGGCTCGCTGCCGACGACCTTGAGGTGATCGTAGCTACTGCTTACGACGTGAGTCATACGGAAGAGGTATGTGAGAACGGTGGTTGGCTCAAGTGTCTTCAGGGTGTTCTGGAAGACGTCTGGCCACTGAGCAAGGAGACGGATAATGTTGGTGGCGTGATCCTCCGTTAGGAGAGACAGGTCAGCCTTGGCCAAGTCCTCGTCCGAGATATTGGCTCGTCGATAGATCGAGCAAAGGCGAGCGTGAGCGTATTGAAGGTATGGGCCGGTATCACCTTCAAAGGATGTCATGGCATCCATGTTGAAAGTGTAGTTGTTGATGATCTTGCCTGTCAAATCTTGAACCATAACACTGCTGATGCCAAGAATGTCGGCGGTAGCTTCGGGGTCTGCCACCTGAGCATACTTCTCCTCATTCTTCTTCATCACCTCGTGCATGTGCTCGCCGACGTCCCTGAGGATATCGTTCAAACTAGAATCATGTGAGAGTTCGCCTCGAGGAGAAGGAAATGACAAGGGGGTGCCCATCAAAGACATGGGTAGGACTTACAACTTGACTGTGCCCCTTCGGGTGCTCATACCCAAGACCAGGCCAAAGCTGATGTGCTGGCACAATTTGGCAGTGGCCTCGTTACCCATCAGCTCCGTGATCTTGAAGAGTTGGCGCAGGTGAAGCTCTTGCTGACTAGCAACGACGTAGAACATTTTGTCAAAGTTATATTTGTCGCGCTGAAATGGCTCCGTCAGTTTCGTCCATTATCCATCAAAAGGCTCCGGTGCCCACTTACACGGTGAAGCAGCTCGCTGACATCTCGGGTCAGGTAAAGAGCAGTGCCATCCTTCTTTCTACACATAAGAGGTTAGCACAGCTACATGAATCAAGGAACCAGCGATACATCGCAAGATTTGCGGTTATAAAACCAAAGCTTGGGAGGCATACCGCAAAACTGTCTTTCCCAATCGCTTGCCCTCCTTGCCAGGGACAAGAGTTGTGAAGTCGATCAACACGGCACCTTGGTCTTCGTGAGAGATTTTGCGCTCCTCCATGATCTTCGCAGTCTTTTCCATAGCTTCCTCGGAGACCTGACTTTCGCCTTGTCATTGTCAATATAGGCCATGAAAAAAAAATTGCGTCAATACATACCACTATACTCGTCGAAATGAATGTTGAGGCGCCCGTACGTCTCTGATTATGACAAAGTTAGATCGCAGATTTCATCACTGCGTGATGACGGTAGGCTAGACGACATACCCTTGTATCGGACGATACTCAAGTCACGGAATCGGCGCCACTGAGCAAGGGCTGATTCATCTCCCTCAGTCTATTAACCGTTAGCAATCCGGCGGGGGTCCAAATGGAACGTTTCAAACGGATTTGGTGTCACATGTCAAACTAACCATCATTTTGAAATACCCACGAGCCTGCTCATCCAGGCTATTTGCCTCCAGCTCAGTGACATCGATACCCTCGGCCTTCTTGGCCTCGAATCCCTTCTTCTCCTCTTCCATTTCAGAGTTGATTCGGACATAGAGCTTGAAGAGATGATTGATAGGATCCTTCTTGAGCTCTTCCTCATCTCCATACATCTTAAAAGCAAGAGCCAGCAGACCATACTGCTTGCCCCAATCACCGAGGTCTATGTTGGGTCAGCCATGTGTTGCGCGAACAATTGTGCCAGGTTGTGGGTCAAATGGCTCTCATCAAGAATAAATATTGAGATCAATATTGTGAAGTCTGAGCTCGGGACACATACAGTTGATTCGAATGACATCCCATCCTGCACTTTCGTGGAGGTTGGCAAGGAAACCACCAATGATCGTGGATCGAAGGTGGCCAGCATGGAAAGGCTTGGCCACATTAGGAGATGAGAATTCAACAATCTATTTGCCAACAAGAAGGCATCATGTCAGCATATCAATTTCTCCGCAAGGCCCGTAAGGACGACCACAGTCACTCAAAAAAAAACATGGTCGACTCAGAACACCTCACTTACAATTCGCTTCTGACCCTTGCTTGGGTCGTTGGGGTCCTTCAAACCATTAAACCGGGCACGGCCTTTGCGAAATTAGTCAAAGCTACGTGATAGTTCACAGTACCATGCATACCATATTCAGAGCCTTGCTGCTGGATGATGGGAATGATGGTGTTTCGGAGTGGCTCAGCCTTAATGAAGAAAGACATAAAATGGGCGTTGGTGACAGGCTTTGATACCAGGGGGTCATCTTCTGGCCACTACGAGGGAATTGTCAGCGGTCTGTCTCTCTTTATGCTCATGCTGTTGGCATCGATGGGAAAATTCTATTTCTACCTTAGCACCCCACTCAGCTGCCAATACGTCAGGCTTCTGGCCCTTGACTCTGAGGGCAGGGACCGCGAGAGTGAAGTCTCCCTTGTCCAATCCCTGGGTCCATTGGATGGCGCGATAGATTATGTCTGTTGAGACACCAGAGATGCCGTGAAGAACATTGCTGATGTGGGCCCTCCACAGGTCAAGAGGGTTGATTTTGGGGAAAGTGCCGGGATATGTCTGCTTGACAGAGTCCAGAGAAAGCCCCTGGACTTTGCTGGCGAGCTGCTCGACGGCAGCTGTGTCGGCCATGGCGTTTGGTGAGGTTGTCAGTGGACGCAGACGCAGCAGAGTTGATAAGGAGGGCTGTGGTGGTGACTGTGACTGTGACTGTGACTGTGTCGGCGATGAGGATGGAGGGGCAACTGAATTGGGCTTTGGAGGGGCAGCATGAGTCGCAGCTGTAACACAAAGGCCCTGCACAAATATTTTGCCAGGGTACTTGTGCTTGCATCCGAAAAATGGAGCCACTCGCCGCGTTCCAGCAGGAGCGCCCCAGCTTGTGGCTAGTGCTCCATTGCTGGGCTGAGCGCGAAGACGAGAGGTAGCAAGTCGCAGGCAGAGAAGCCGAGGGGCAGTCATTTGGGACTGCAATGGCGAAGAAGGGCGCAGAATTAATCGGAGGGGGCTACATACAACCAGGAAATACTGTACAAAGGTCAAGATGCGTGCACCCCAAGCAATTGGCGCTGTGGGATGGTGGTGAATATGGGCCGAGTCTCAGGTACATCCACTGAACACCGCCGTTGAAGCCTTCGGGAAAGAAAAAAAAACCTCCGTCATGGCTTGTCACGTGCGACGTACCGCATCCAACAACTCCCTACCTAGAAATCACGGGGTAAATGGTCACAGAGATCCAGCAGTACAAAGTCTATGATAGTCTGTATTTATCCCTATTCATCTCCTGGGGCCCTAATTGACGGAGTTTTTAGCAATTTGTGTCAGTGTTGAACTCCCTGTATTCATGCTCGGCAATACTCAGCAAGAGGGAATACAAATCGTCTACCCAGCAATTAGTCGAAGAAACGAGCAGAGACTCTCACCAGCGAAAGCCAATACGTATCAAGAAAATAAAAAAAGGGCAGCTAGATAATACCCCCCATTAATCTGGAACCTTCTCATCATATACCAACGCCCATGAACTCAATCAAAGTGGCGTTCTTGGTGTAGGGTAGTAAGTACCTTAGGTGAGGCAGGAAATGTCACCCAAACGAAGAGCCAAATATCTCAATAATAAGTAGAAATTACCGATAAGGAATATTCGCATCCTGCAATATTTTCTTCGTTCAATTTAAGTGATCCATACAGAGTCAGCTATGAAAGATACTAGATTTAGTGTCTCTTCAAGGACGCATAGGAGCGCTTAGGTGTGCCATTTTCTGTCACCCACTTGGGTAGTAACCACTAACGGCGTGGCTTCGTCCAGCGTGTCGGGAGAGACGAGCTTGGAACAAAGGGCACTGGCCTCGGGTCCCACCCATAGCTGGAAATGGGTCTCGGTAACATTATTTCGTGACGGGAGTCGATCAATGAGAGCGAGTGGAGTGACGCGAACCTGTAAAGCGCAGGGTTTGAGTTATTGATACAGCGATATCCATGGTCAATTGGACAGGCGAGAAGCTTTTGATTCTGTGCAAACAAGAAGAGCAGTCGGTCATTGAAGCGCACATGACTGACTCATTACGGGGCTGCCAGCCAATCGTCGGGTGTTCATCTTCGTTTGAGCGAGCTTGGTCCTAGTTGATCGACCGATGCAAGTAACTTGACGGGCAAACAGGTACCTGTAAGGAGGAAGCAGTGCCGTGCCGCCCCTCGCCCACAGGCCCGTTGACTTGGATTGGAGGCGATTCACTGCTCTTCACGCGTGCGCAGAGCCCGTCGGGTGCTGTGAAGCCGGTGACTGCTTGCTTGGTGAGGCGTCGATGGAGGTCAGCTTGTCGGCCCGTGTTTAGGTGCGAGGTAGCACTGAAGTAGCACTGCATGTACTCGGCGCTGGCAAATGGTAGGGGCGGTACTTGGCAGCCCGGCCTAGCCTAACTGGCACCCATTGGCAGGAAAGAGTTGCCCACTGATAGCCACCACCCCCAAACACAAACTCTCCGTCACATTATCCACTCTTTTTCCACATCCCGCTACAACAACAACCCAGCCAGCATCGTCGCGCGCTAATCGCCGCCGGCCGACCCAACCCCCAAGACAAGGTCGACGGCTATCCATCAAAGGATTCTTTCCACGACGGCGCTGGTCGCGACATTGATTCACCTTGACCTTTTGCTGGCCTGGGACAGAGAGCGCGGGCTCTTCCCTAGCGCCCTCCCCTCGGAAACAGCCGATTGTTCTCCATCCTCGCCAAAACGCCCACCCTATGCGTATGCGTGTCAGGCTTGCCATCCGGTCGCGAACAAAGCAACAACGTCCATGAATCCTCCTCTTCAAACCTAATCAATCCGTCATTCGCTACAAACACACTTATTCTCTTCACTCCCCCCTTTTGCCCGCCCCATCTCTTTCTCGTGTGCTCCTCGACTCTAGTTCGCGCCATCGTCCTTCTCCACGCGGTACGCTCACCCATCGGCCCTCGACGTGCTTTCTCACCCACGGCTTCGCTGCGGCGCATTTTATCGCCATATCCCAACCTCACAGTGCTCCCCGAAGCTTCATACGGCATGCGCATGGTCACCAGCAACTATGGAAGCTGCGGCGGAGAAGGTCAGGCAGCTGACCCGATCCATCTTGCCTGAACTACCACACCAGTTGGCCAAATCTCCAGATTGGAAGTGCCGCAACACACCTGACGACAAGAAACGCATCGAGGAACAGTACAATTCTAGGCTCCAATACATGACCATGGTGAATGAAGGCGACCGCGGTGTGCTCTTCACCAGAGGCTACTACGACATTAGACCCGAGCCCCCCACGACGAAGCCTGTGCCGAGAGAGGTCGATGTCCTTGCACGAGGTGGCGCGAAAAAGTTGTCGCTAAGCGATTATGCTAAGAAGAAGTCGGGAGCAGCAGCATCGGCCTCGCCGTCTGACCCCCCGACGCCATCAAGTCAGAAGAAGTCTTCCGATAAGCCGCTATCGACAACAGAACCCAGAAATCTTGATGAGCCCAAGAGCTCGAGGGACCCCAAACGGCCTGACCATTCTAGACCCATGAACTCGGAATCATATAGTTCATCAAGATCATCCAAAACCGCGACGAACGAAGTGGTCGTAGTCGACACAAGGTAGGTTATACGTGTATCAGGTGAGACACTTTGCGCAATGCTGATCTATTATAGCCTTCCGCCTAGACCTCCATCCTTACCTGCTCGACCACCTGATCCGGATAGACGAAAACGCCCTGCTGAGACTGATGACGGTGCCCGGCCTCTGAAGAGGCAGCGCCCTTCTGATGCCAGTAGACAACCGGAAGAACCATCACGAGAAGACCCCCTGCGACGCAAGGCTCAAGATTATCCTTCATCGCGTAACCATACACCTGTTAAGGATAGTAGACTATCCAGTTCCAACTCGCTTCTCAACGGCCGTGGCACGGTCAAAGTAGCAACATCACAACCTCGCAATGCATCACCGCCTCCCCGATCGCGTGGAAACTCAATGAATGGCGTTCGTCCTCCTACGACCGGGGCTAATCGAACGTCATCCAGCAAGCTCGATGTAGGATCAAAAACTTATGTCCCACCCTTACTCTCACCGCTGCATCTCGATATAAACGATGGCACAGAAGACACAGGAAGAGGAGCTCAGAAGAAGCGAGCGAGCGGTGTAGAATCTGGCAAGGTCCCCAAGTCTAAGAATATCGATGTTCACATCGGCTCGAGACCACCTAGGTCTCCAGTGAAAATCCCGCCGCTGCTTTCTCCAACTTTACCACCTGAGGTTGAGGCCGAATTAGAACGAAGAAGAAAGTTATCACCCCGACCCCTCGATAGCCGATCAAGAGAAGAACCAGAGATCGAAAGGAGAATTCGGGTGGATCCTGATGACGAGGGGAGAGGTCGCAGGACGCACCTGGTCACTCTCAGAGTGCCCAGAACGCTCCGAACTAGGTTTGCAGGGCTGATGAGGCTCCCTCCATCTCGGAAAGAACCTCGCTTGTTAGGTCCAACAAGTGGTAGCCACGGTGAGAAGCGGCCGGTGGCTTTGACTGACGTCCCGGCCGACTCTATCGCGATGAAGAAACCACGAGCATCAGACGTATCCAACACGTCAAAGCCGTCCATTCCCCCGTCCACACCGTCTTACCGGAAAGGTGGAGCTACGAACATGTCTCGTGTTAGCTCAAGTAACTCACTTGTTAATACACCTGGCGAAGCGATTACCGGGACACCTTCAGTTCCTGGTTCTTCCGAGCGAACTGCCAACGGCCCAGAACCTGTATCCAAATCGATGATGTCCAAGGTCACATTATTAAGAGAGAAAGAGGTATATTTCCGTTCTTTAGGGAAGAGACTCAAGCACAACGGAGATCTTGCTTTTAATGGACGACAGGATACGCAAGCCGCAGTCACTAATGGGAATACACGAGCGGGAGAGCCTAATATTAAGCTTGGATATGTTCTTCATCTAGAAAGCACACTGGCATTCATGATGAGCTTCTATGTCCAAGACCTTCACCGGAATCTGTCAAGCAAGGCAGGTGACCCCAGCGGCTGGGGAAGCTTACTTCCATTGCTTGACTTCTTACGGCGGAAAGAGGGCAGGGTGTTGCGGCCGCTGCACGCTGTGACTATGCTGCTCCAGGTTATCGCATATGATGAGATAACCAAGGCCTATACGACGCACGACAACCCCAAGGACGTGACTTTGCAAGAATTTCTGAAGCATAGGCGGACTCGTGAGAAGATTATCCCCCAGCTACGCGAGTATAATGCGTCCATCGACAGCTCTTTCCGCGCCAATATCACGCTTTTGACCACCGTCGAAGATATCGCCGAAATTGTCCTGGGTATCCTTCGCCGCTGGTGTGCTGACGAGGGAATCGATTACAATGCACAACTTAATCTTCGTGAGGCCGGAGTGAAGAACATCATGGCTCGGTCGCACCATTGATGGGATATACCGTTTAGGGGCAATGTCCTCTTTCGCTGTGTCCTTGATTACCACCACGTACATTCAACTGGCTACGAGTCTCCTCACACCCGGCTGCATTGTTCGGCAGAAGCCGAAACCAATGGCGAGGTTGCTTTGTACCACGTTAGATCTGATGCGTTAATTTCCATGGGGCGATACTCGTCTTCGCTGTGATTTCTTGTCACCTAATCTCATGGCTCTTTGATTTAATAACAACAAACGTCTCATCCTACAGGCCAAAGATGACGACGATATTGAGCATCTCACCAGACAAAAAGCACACACCACACATATACATACAATTATACTCTCTTGAGAAGATCTGCATCTGCAGGACATGGGTTTACTTTTGGTATCGGGACGGCAAGGCGAATCTTACGGTATGCGATGATGGTTTCATTGCTTGCGCTGCTGTTTTCTTCTTTTTAACCAAGGCCGGCTTGCATCATGGATACCTTTTTTTTTGCTTCCTCTCATCAGCTTTTCTCGAGAGGAATTTGGGGGAACGGGGAAGGGGGGGTAGGCTGGCGAAGGGAGCGAATTGCAGGAGGGAAGAGGGTAAGGAAAGGAGAGAGAGAGAGGGAGAAAAAAGGACACCATACCCATTCCCCATTGTTGATTTATTGCTGGCTTTGTTTTCTTTTTGATCGTTTTAGCACTTGGTCGTGTGTCATGTACGGCTTCACATGTGCTCTCTCATGTATTATGATATCCCCCCCAAAGATGACGGAAGTTCCGGGTGCGGAACTTCTCTGCGTACGTCATAGCCGAGTCTATGGAAGAATTACTCTTGCTTATCCGTTTTATCCTGGTGGTGAATTACGATCTGATGACTACCTACCTACCTACCTACCTACTTTTCTTTGTTGTCGTCAATTGCCTAATGGGGTTCGCCGAGATCTCCCCGCCCCAAAGGGGGGGCCACCACCAACACCACACCCTATGGATGGAAATTTCACAATACTGTGACTAAGATATCTACGGTGTGTTAGAGATAATTACATCAGATTACGCCAGCTTTGAGCGACTTGTGCTAGATCGCCGTGTAATGGCAATTACCTAAAGTAGGCTTAAATGTCTCATTTCAAAGCAAGTTGGCATCCAGATGACACAGAGGAAGGATGTCACACTAGGAGCAGCGAAATTATGGACTATGGTCATGATTGCTAATTTGAAAAGTCTAGAGGTGCAACCATTGGCACTGGCTGACTTGGGTTCGCTCTACTTGTTCTGCTAGGCTATCTGACCGCATGTTTGTGCTCTTGGTATCACGCCTAGCCAAGCTCACACCACTAGACTGGTTTGAAGGAAACGGCCATCTACAGTTGGCAACCTTGAGAGGCCAAAGCCATTTGATACACAAATAACATCACATTGCAAACAGTCACATCATGGGCCATGATTATTGTACACTAATTTTTTTATATTATTATTCGTTGAGCAGTTTCGTGACTTTTGTAGGTAGCCGATCCACGCCAGTTTTGGTAATTTACTGGCCATCGACCTTGGAGATGTAGGAAATGAGGTCGAGAACACGGCGGGAGTAGCCCCACTCGTTGTCATACCAGCTGACAAGCTTGAGGAAGTTCTCGTTGAGGGCGATACCGGCCTTGGCATCGAAGATGGAGGAGTGGGTGTTGCCGTTCAAGTCGGTGGAGACGAGGTCGTCCTCGGAGTAGTCGAGGATGCCTAAAGGATACATGTTAGTCAATGTTATCTAAGAGGGATGTAGCGGAATCAACATACCCTTGAGGGGGCCAGCAGCGGCATCCTTGATGGTCTTCTTGATGGCGTCGTAAGAAGCAGCCTTCTCGATGCGGACAGTCAAGTCAACAACGGAGACGTTGGCGGTGGGCACACGCATGGACATGCCGGTGAGCTTGCCGTTGAGGTCGGGGATGACCTTGCCGACGGCCTTGGCGGCACCGGTGCTGCTGGGGATGATGTTGGTAGCAGCAGTACGGCCACCTCGCCAGTCCTTGGCAGAAGGACCATCGACGGTCTTCTGGGTGGCAGTGTAAGAGTGAACGGTGGTCATGAGACCCTCGACAATGGTGAAGTTGTCGTGGATGACCTTGGCGAGAGGAGCCAAGCAGTTGGTGGTGCAAGAAGCGTTGGAGATAACATCGGCCTTGCCGTCGTAGGTTTCGTTGTTGACACCCATCACGTACATGGGGGCATCGGCAGAAGGGGCGGAGATGATGACCTTCTTGGCACCACCAGCCAAGTGAGCCTTGGCCTTCTCGGTGGTGGTGAAGACACCGGTGGACTCGACGACATAGGTGGCGCCGGTGTCCTTCCAGGGGATGGCAGCGGGGTCGCGCTCGCCGTAGAACTTGATGGTCTTGCCGTTGACAACGAGATCGTTGCCGGAGACCTCAATGTCGCCCTTGAAGACACCGTGGGAGGAGTCATACTTGAGCATGTAGGCCTAGAAATTGGGACATCAATTAGCCATCTAGTCCAGGGCGGAAGGTTCGGAAGCTCCCTGACACATCCAGGAGCTGGTTGTAATTAGGGTTGGTTGGTTGGTTGGTGGGGGAGGGGTAGGGGAATTCCAGTGGTTTGCATGCAGCCACGAAAACGCGTGCGTGGGGTGACCTCATGGAGGGGCAAAGCTTGAAGGAGCTCATAGAGGGGCAAACACGGTCGCCCCTCACCCCTCCTAGCCACGACCAGCAGCTAGTAGCTCCCAACCCCCAACCGTGTTGCAAGTATAATGTTCGAGATAGCTAGGATAGCTTGGGCGTTACTCACAGCGTACTTGGCCTCAATGAAGGGATCGTTGACGGCAACAACCTCGATGTCGGGGTGCTCGACAGAGTTGCGGAAGACAATGCGACCGATGCGGCCGAAACCGTTGATACCGACCTTGACAGTCATGTTGAGAGTATCTATTTCGATTTTGTCGAGTTAGAAGGAGGGCTTTGCTTTCAATTGGAAGAAGACGAGTGACAATGATGGGAAGGAGAGGAGGTGTGGGAGAGGGGGATGGGAATTTATATGTTTGAGAAAAAATTGCTGGCGGGGTTGGCAAAAATTGACGAGTAGATGCTAGCTCCCAATGACAGGAGCTGGATAATGTAGTGTTATGATTTGTTCTGGTGGTTTGTCATATCGAGCTGTCCGGCGAGATACGACGCGTGCGGTGTGGCCAAGGTAGAAGGAGGGGGAGGGGCAATTCGAAGGGTTGGTCGATCTCTTTTTAGTTTAGATTCTTCACATACCTGAGGAATGTAGGGTATTGGATTTGGTTGAGGGGATGGTAAGTCGAGAGGACTGTGGATGAAGAAGAAGAAGAAAAGAAAGGGAAGAGGAGGGGAAGGTTGAGAAGAAATAGGGAGGGAGGAGGAGAAGTACTCTGCCGTTGGGAGAGGAGCTGTTGACAGTGCGGTACCTGCGTTTTGGATAAAGTATAAGCCGGCAGAGGTACCGTTGCTAGGCAATTTGGCAGGCAGAGTACATGGAAACTGATGAGGGACGAGGTAATGGCGACTACGGGCAGCCGCATTGGCGTGAGAGAAGGTTGCGCGCCTGATGGAGGGGCAGCTCAGCAAGAAACGACCCCTCCCCAGCAATTGGGTGGTGGGGTCCCAGCGGGCTGCGGTTCATCTTCACGGGCAGCTCTCCACTCGAGCGCCAGGTGCTAGTGGGCGCACCTGTGCTGAGAGTGGACGCTAACTGGGCAGACTGGCTAATGCGCCGAGAAGTGATACAGGCCAGACAGGTTCTGGGCCGATTACTCGGGGCCCTCGTCTAATGACTGGGTGGTGAGAAGGTGAGGCGGGCGGCGGTGCCCCTCCATACGAAGCTCGTCTAGGTGCGTGTAACGCTACGTCAAGCAGACCGCGTTGTCGAGGGTGGTGGCATGAATGCAGCTGGGAGGCGAGCAGGCCATGGCCGGCATGGGTCTGACTGGGAGGATGGAGACAACGTGTTTGAAGACCACAAATCAGGTCGTTGGATCGAGTCCATCAGGCGGCTATTGCCTGGTTGAGGTGGCAACTGAGCTACTCATTTAGATCGCAGGTGGCTATCTTGTTGCATCTGCCCACTGCATGGGCTGATGTGTTGTTACGGCGGGCGCCATCTGATGATGAACCACACTCCGGCAGGCCGGTCCTAGCCCAGGAGGCTCCAGGCCTGTGCCTGCCTGTAGCTCGGGGCCTGTGGCCTGTAGTGGCACCGCTGGCCAGCTCCAGGGCTGCCTGTGCTCTGCCAATGCTCAGGCGTAAGTACACTGTAAAACCTCCCTGGGGAGCCGGGGACCCCATCCGTCCCGCCCGACCCCGGCCACCGATTCTAGAGGGCCAACACGTACAGCCATGACCGTTGCCATCTGCCCATCATCCATCACGATGCAGCCAAATCCTGGGCGCATCGGGCCTCTCATCCACCATGCGCACGGTAATCTCTCGGTTCCCATGTCTGGTTTGTTCTGGCGGTCGGCTTGTCGGGGCATCACGGCTTCATCGGTTGGCTCCTCGCCTATGCAACTGCATAAATATCCCGTGACGCCCCGAGACACCGGAATCCTCAGGAGCAACGCATCCCGCTGGCCGTAGATCAACCTAGATAGCCGTGACTACAGCCGCACTACCGTGGCTGCACGCATTAATTATTACCCCATACAAACGTTTAGTTCCCATAGCTCGCGTGAGACACACCGCAACACGCACGACCATCCGTCCTTATGCTGCCGGCTGATTGTGATGTTTGCCTGCTGCCTCCCGGTCTGCATGCATGCGTGTATGCATCGCCAACCCCCTCACCATCAGTCAAGGAGAGCCTACCAACGGTCCTATACCGCCTACACGACGCTCACGAGAACGCAGCTACTTTGGACCATTCAGCACCTTCACCAACCGGCCGGAACTCAACACCCTCCGTAAAATATCCAGCGTCTTGCCAAGCCTTCATCGTTGGACCATCAAACGGACCTTGTAATGCCCCTCCATCCCTGCCATCGAGCCATCTGAATTCCCATTGCCTAGATGGGTTAGAGGTCGCGTTTTCGTAACCCCGCGCCTCCTCAGGCCGTGGCTCGACCCAGTCTTCTCCGGTCTCCCGGCGGTACTCGCGAATGAGCAGCTCCCGTTCCTGGTCGTATACCTCCTCATAATCCCGGCTCAGTAGCTTGTCCGCGGCGTCGGTGATGGTGGTAATGGCCTCCCTGATGCGGACCTGCTCAGGATCCTCTGCCCCGGAGTGGTCAACCTCCATCCCCTCACCATCCTTCTTTAGTTTTTTTAGCTTCCACTGGGGTATCTTTTTGGGCTTCGTCTGCCTTTTCCCCAGGCGGGCAAGTGCTTCTAGAGGAGTCTCGGTCTTCTCCAAATGCACAATCAGAGACTTGAGAAGGTCAGACACAAGCACGTTATCTGCCGCTAGTCGTTGCTCGCGTGCTTGCTGCTCTCGCTTCATGTGAGCCTCAGCCGCCTTCTTCATGTCTTTCTTGCCGAGCCCCTGGAGCCAATTATCGTGCTCGGCATCAGGGTCACCTGCCCTGCGGATGTAGTTGCCACTCTGATCGAACTGCCCTTCTTCCATTTCCTCTCTGAGGTTAAATGCCTCCAGTTTTGGGGCATTCTTTTTCAGACCACCGGCACCAACTTCTTCATCCAATCCTTCTTCCTGCATGGCAAGATCCGCATCTTCCTCGTCGTCACTGCTCTGGTTCTCCGTATCATGCAGGTGAACGTGCCCCCCGGACCGACTCTTGGTATCCTGACCAGCGATTTTCTCAGAGTCAAGGAATTCTCCGCCATCCTTCTTGTGTCCAGTGAACTTGAAATCGTCATCATCATCATCATCCTGTTCCTTGTCCTTCTTCTCTTCATTTTCCTCAGGATCTGCAGCGAACATATCGTCGTCGTCGTCGTCATCATCTGTAGGCCCCTGCTTTTTGCCGGGCACAGGGGATTCCTCCGTATCTGCTCTTCGGGCATCGTAGTTGTCGAGCTGATCCAGAATGTCTACCTTGCCTCTCTTGCGCGTTTGCGCCTGCGCATTAAAAGTGTCGTTGTCCGAGTCACTGTCGTAGCCATCAATGTTGACTGCGCCGCGTTTCGTCGAGCTCTTCCCGCCGATGACGTCGTGATCGAGGATGTCATCGTCTTCGCGCGCGTCTGGCGCAAGCTTAGAAGGATCTCGGACGTCGAAAACGACTTTTTTGGAATCAGCTCCCTCCTTGTTGTGATGCGTCCTGGCGTAGACGTCTCCGCCGTGCTTTGGTCGCGCTGCCGAGTGTCTTGATGCCATAATAGTAGTGTGAATGGAGGTCGCGACTAGCTGAGGAATTGGATCGAGGAAATGATATCTCGGAGCGCGACAGGGAGGGAAAGTTTGGGGAGCCGTCGAAAAAATGTATAGGTAGTCTCGGCCACATCCTCTGGAGCTCTGACTTTGGCGCCACAGCTGGTCCCCTGTAGCCACACAAGTGGGGGACATAAAACATGGCACACCCAAGAAGACTTGAATAACCACCTACCTAAATAAACCCCCAATAAATATCTAAATATTGAAATAAGTAGCTAGTTCTAAGTAGAGATTAAAGAATATTAATATTCAGACCTTGATATTTCTTCCTTTAATCTTATTTCAGTAGTTCTATAGCTAGCTATAAAAGACAATATATCAAGTATAGGTTAAGCTAGCAAGTGCTAGGTGTGCCATTTCCTCTGTCACCCACTTGCCACACCAGTAATATAGCTCCCATGTGCGTCATGGCCACTCCACCCATCCACCCACGTCTTCTGCCTTCTGCCTGCACCAAATCACAGGTGTTCAGGCACATCAACTCTCGACCTCAGATTCAGCTGCACAGTTGGTTCCTATAACACTGCGCTTCGACTACCGGACACGACCGACGCAGAATTTTCTTACTATACTGAGAGATAACCCAGCACGTGGTTCTGTGCTTCTCTATTCACCGAACTGTGTGCACATCTTCGACGCTTTGTGCGGTGACAACCTCAGCCGACATCCTCGCCCCGATTCCTCAACGACTAGCACAGGCTCTGCCCGTGAATTTAACCATGGTAACATCTCACCATTTACCTATCTATGTATTGCCGGGCTCTAACCATGGCAATACAGTATTCCGCTGGGTTTGGCGGCGGACGGCGACCGATCGTCCAGCGCTTCGATGAATACTACCGATGCTACCCTGTCATCATGGCTCCAGGCGCGGAGCGTCCGGAACTCAACTTCGGCTCCAAGATTATCCTGCCCCCGTCAGCGCTGGACAAGGTGTCGAAGCTCCACGTCCAGTGGCCGCTTTTAATGGAGTTGATCAACGGCGAGAAGGGCAAGCACTCGCACGCGGGTGTGCTGGAGTTTATCGCCGAGGAGGGAAGGGCCTACATTCCCCAGTGGGTATGTTCACCTCGTCCTGAATCCATACCGAGGTTTAATAAGCTAACGGGGAGCCCAGATGATGGTTACACTGGGTATGGACGTTGGGGACATGATTCAGATCCGAACCACATCCTTGGAGCTCGCAAAGCTGGTCAAGCTGCAGCCCCAGTCTACGAACTTTCTTGATATCAGTGATCCCAAGGCCGTATTGGAAAGAGCATTCCGGAATTTCGCTACACTGACAAAGGGCGACGTCTTTAGCTTCGAGTATAACGACACAATCTACGACGTGGCCGTCCTGGACGTCAAGCCCGAAACGGAGAAGATGGGTGTCAGTATGATCGAGACCGATGTGTCGGTCGACTTTGCGCCCCCAGTTGGATATGTAGAGCCCGAGAGGCAGAGCGGTACTAGCACACCGCGGAGTGGAAAAGCCGGAGTGCCAGCCGGAGGAGTCGTTCACAGCCAGGGAACGATGGCGCAGGCCATCAACTACGATTCCATCGCCCCTAGAGTCACAAGCACCCCAACAAACTTCCTGGGAGAAGGCCAGCGCCTAGCCAAGAAGGGCAGCAAGAATTCAACACCGAAGCCAGCAACCCCAGTCCCTGTTGACTTGTCAGCGCCACCGCCCAGACGGCGTGATGGAGCACCAGCGCCGCTTCGACTGCCCCCTAACAAACTCTTCTTTGGCTACGAGCTGGTCCCGGTCAAGACCAAGGATGAGAAGGAGGAGGAGGCGAACAACGCTACCAAGCCGCATTTCGCGGGTGCTGGCCAGTCGCTACGTGGGGCTGTGAAGAGAAAGGGCGACGCAGACGATAAGTCGAAGCCCTCGGAGAAGAAAGGTCCAAGCGAGGGAAATAGGCTCGATGGTCGACGACCTCGATAAAGGAGTGATATTTTAATGAGTTCCATTTCGCGGGCGTTTGGATGTTTGGATCGTGGTTTTCGAGAGCTGCGGGTATGCATAGGTACATATAATTCGCCCAAGGCACCTCTGTTTCAGGGTGGAGGAGCTGGCGCAGCAATCTTCTCAAATTCATTTCCACAACATGGGATAGAAGAGGATGTGAGCAGCCAAAACAATTTATTAACTTGAACTAGGCAACCTTGAGGCGAGTATTGAGTTTTGATGAGTTTGGCACCCGTGACAGGTATTAGAATGTGCTAAGCTAGAAAAGAAAAGTGATGAATGAGAACAGTGATAAAATGGAAGCAAACCAACGGCTTCTAGCCTTTGTGTCCAGCTGCGAGTTCAAGAGCAAATCATGCTGAGCAGACCTGGAAGGAAAGTCCAAAAAAAGGAGAAAAAGGAACCTCATAACAAGCGGCCAGAAGTGTCATAGAAAGATCCTATTGTGTTTCAGGATCCACGCTCTCAAGAGCGTTGTCAAGCTGGGTTTTCATCTTGTTTAAACACCAGAGTCAAAATCCATGTCTCCAGGAGCGGCCCTGCGGAATGAAATCGTTAACCAATGCCAGAGAAGGGAGGGGAACAACAATAATCTCGTAGCACACTGCAGCTTACTTTTGGGTCTCGCGGTCGGAGTCATCATCAGACTCCTTGGCGAGCTTCCGCTTCTTGGCCGAGGCGGGCTTGACCTTCTTCTCCGAGTCGGAGTCGTCCTCGTCCTTGACAACCTTGGGCTTGGCGGTTCTCTTCCGCGGGGTAGGCTTCTGAGGGGTGGTCGCCGCGGAGTTGGGAGGGCCGCTCTTGACCGCGTCGGCGCCGTGGCGCTCCTTGAAGTCCTTCATGATCTTCTTGCTCCAGCGCTGGCTGTGTATTTTCAAATGTTAGTGACGGTCTTTGAAGGATATACACTCGTGGCCCCTTTATGAAGGGGGAAGGGGGAGGGACGACTTACGTGATGGCGTCACGGCTGAAGGTGTAGCCCCAGGCCTCCATCATTTCCTGGATTCTAACCCAGTCATACTTGGGGCGCTCGCCGTGCTGGGTGAGGATGACCGCCATGGCGAGGTCTCGCTCCTCGAGAGGGCCCCATTTCTTCTCGGCGCCGGGCATGGTTGATGTCGCCTGTTGGTTTCTCTTTTAGTCTGATGCTTCAACCAGGGCAGGCTTGGGGCGAGGAGGGGGAAGGAAAAGGTAAAGTGGCAGTGTTAGGGGAAGGAGGAGAGTCATACAGTCTGAACAACGGTTGCTTTATATGGTATTGGATCTGTAGGATCCAAAGGAAGTAATAGTCGGACGGTAGTCAAGGATCTTCCTTCTTGCAAGCGGTTTGAGTGAGGTTGTTGAAAGGGAAGATGTGATGGTTGTGTGGGTGGGTGTGGGATGAAAGGTGAGGAAGCAGAAACCAGAGGTGGGGGATTAGGGGAGATTAAGTAGAGTAGGGAGGCCAAACTGAGCAGGCAGTGAGCTCACTTCCCTCTCACCATGCCGTCTGAGCTTGCAGCACCTTTTTCAGAAGGGGAAAGCAAGTAACTTAGGGGTAACTTGGGCAACGGGTTGGTGGGCGCCTCCAGCGTGATTCACGACCAGCTCACCCGGCGACTGAGATACCTGCTCACCTTCCACGGAGAGGGTGATCTTGTACCATCGATTTCTGAGAGGCTTTTATCAAGTTACTTTCATATCTTTCTGTAATCCTTAATGCTATGATATTTTGTATGTAGTATTAATAACAACGCTAATGTAGCTACATCGAAGTCAGTTACTGTTATCATGCCAGCTTTTCTTGGTGTGGAAGCAAACAGGATCAATCCACAGCTATCCTCTTTGTTTAGTTTGACAGCCAGACAGTCGGTACTGTGATGTTCTCTCTGTTTACTCAATCTGGTGATGTGCGACTATTTGGAAACTCCACCATATGACTGGAATAGCCATCAACATAAATCTAGAGCAACGACCTTGATACTGAGAAACAGAAATTATAGAGTTTCGTTGTATCATTCGCTATCCTCCGTCACGGGGATATTGAAGGTTTATGGGCATTTTGCTGACGGCTACCTGCCCGCTGCATAATACCAACTTTAGATGATTTTCTACGCTTTGGATCATTACATCACATTAAGAGGTGACTACAGTGTAGGTGGGAATTGCTTTGCATTGATCTTTTGTTCGTTCCGTACGGGCATCATGTTAAGAGCAGGGCAGACTTATCTAGGCAGAAGCCCTAAATGTCGTGTGAGCTCTTTGACACAATGTCTCCCCCAAAATCGCGATTCTTCAAGCCATTTCTTCCAATTATTTCACTCATCGTATCGAAGCCAGCTAATTCCCAAGATCTTGCAATCGTAACCAGTGTGCCATTAGGGGCAACCAAAAAGTACAGCTCTGGAGGAATTTTCCAAGAGCAAACATCGTAGATGTCCCTTAGACCTGGCATTCGTCGTCGAGACCAGGTCTGTAGTGTGAAGATTTGACAGTTAGTGACAGAACTGAGCATCATGGGGTATTGAGAGAAAACTTACGAAGGCTCCTTCTTGACGCGCTTCACGGGCTTCTTGGAGGGAGACCGTTCGACCTCGGAGAGGCCCTCCTCCTTCTTGAAGTCGTCATCATCGATTTCAGAGTCATCGCTGTTGAAGCGCTTGCGAGAACCCTTGCCTGCAGCCTTCTTGGCAGAAGCGCCCTTGCGAGGAGTAGCCTTGGATGGTGTTCCCTTGGTGGGGGTTTCGATTCCCCCGGCATTCTGAATGCTCGAGATGTCCTTTTGCTTGCGAAGCTTCTGAACGTGCTGGCTAAAAAAACAGAAAGTTAGAAACTTGGACTTTAACGGATGAGAAAGAACGAAGCGAAAAAAAAAACACCAAAAAGAAAACAAAAAGAAAACGTGAGTGAGTACTTGATGGCATCAAAGGAATAAGTGTGGCCCATGCCCTTCATTCTTTCGGTGATGCTGGTAATGACAGCCTTGGTAGCTTTGGTCTCGTAAATGAAGCAAAGCAGAAGATCGAGATGCGAGCTTTCATCCCATCCACGAGCTTTCTTGGAGGGAGTGTTCGACATCTTGAAGAGAGGAAGGATTGATGAACGCGTGGAGATGGAATTTGTAAGGGTGTTGGGGTCAGATGTTGAACGACCAGAAGTTATGCGCAGAAGAGATTGCGAAGTGGATGGAAAGAGGAAGAATTGGGCGTTTCAGGAGAGGAGATGAAAGGGAGGTGAGGAGGGTGCAGGTGCAAAGGTGCAAAGTGAGAAGCAAGCAAACAAAAACAAACAAAAACCGAAGAGGCTGTTGTACCGAAGCGCGTTTTCAGTAAAGGTGTATCCCTTGGCTCTGAGTTCACCCATGACCTTCTGGATATCCGAGGTAGGAATCTTGACGTGCTGGAAAAGTGCAAGCAAGATGTCCTCATGGGTATGGGCGTCCCATTTCTGCATAGATCTTCCTGGAGAAGGCATGTCGGGAAGCGTGGGAGTTGTAACGAACGAACGAACGAATGAAATGTGTCGAAAATGTTGAAAGGAGTGAATGAAAGTTATGAATGAAGAAGTGAAAGAACGAGGAAGGAGTTGTTCAGGAAGGAGGTGGAGGTGGGAGCTTTGTAGGCGGGTGATTCTCAAGTGATGTTTTGTTTTGAAATTTTGGACGGATAGGTGGCAGCTGGCCACGGCCGACAACGAACTCGCCCAAAGAAGAGACGCAGGAAGGAGACCCAAAAGAGATTTCATTGCAAGTATTCAGAAAATAAGAAATAAAGCTTACCGTATTCCCTCCCAAGTGACAGAGTGACCGCAGTTGTTGAGGTACTGGACAATCCCCTCTCTCATCTTGGGGGAGAGGCCTTTGGATATGGTCCCAGCCTCATAAAGACCAATGATGACATTGCTGAGGAACTCGGGGTTATCCCACAGAGAGGATCCCTTTGGAGGAGGCATGGTTGTTCGATTGTCGACTGCTGTTGTTTTGAACGAGAGTAGTTGGCGTCAAGGAACCTTAAAATGAAGAACGAGGCGAGTTGCAGATCGGGGATGACGGTTGGAGAAAGGCAAGTGAGGGTTGTGGTGAAGGATGGCCGCGTCAGTGATTTTGCGTGAGAGAGAGGCATGCAATCACAACTGACAGGTCCCGTGCAGGGTAATCCAGTACATGCGCTTTGTGACCATGAAGGCTGCAAAACCTCCCGCAACTGCACTCAAACAAGTACCTTGGTAAATGATCTGTCCCATTTCCTGTCGCTACCCTTTCTAAAGCAACTAATATAAACATGATACTCCATTGATTTACGTTGACCCAGCTCATCATCATCAAGAACACATTATTCACAATCTGCCAACTATTGGCCACTCTCGATAAAAACACAATAGACCGCAAGATGCGTTACCCCTGGAATTCCTATGCTTCCGCGTAACTAAAGCTGTTACCGGGTTCGATTAGCATAATGCATTATCTATAGTTTGAATATGGGATGGGATCTTACTCTGGAGGATATGGGTCGTTGGGCCCTGCATTGTTAGCAGTCGCAAGAGCCAGAACTGGATCATCTTCCAGGGAGTCGGGTGGAATTGCGTTGTCAGAATCTATTCTCTGCCGCTTTATTGGCGGTTCGTCGTCGCCCTCGCCTTCAGCGTCTATGTCATTTTCAGGTTCGAGATGAAGGGCATCAACAGACGAGCCTTCTATTTCGGCTCTACCAGTGTGCGGCATAGGAAGGCTCCCATCGTGATGATTTGCCACTCCCCCTTGTTTGTTATCGGCAAGGGACTGATTTGGCTGGTTGTCTTGTGGGTGAGGCTCTGTGATATGATGCTGCGGTTGAGACATTCCGGGATGTGGCTGCTGCCCATGGAGCTGAGCGTGTGGTAGTGGAGGCGAGGGATAATGTATAGGCTGCTGGCTTGGTTCATAGACCTGGCCAATTGGAACCTGTGGTGGAAGGCCAGGGATTGCTACGGGTGCAGGATTGGGCTGCCCAGAGGCTATGGCATCAGGAACCGACACCGACGGCGCGGTGGCTGAGGCGTCTGAAGATATAGACTTCTTTGGCCGGCCCCTTCCAGGGCCAGGCCTCCTGGTAATCGGATTCCACGTGGGATCAACCCGTCTGTTGCTAGCTCCTGTGCTTCCACCATCACCTGACTTGTTTTGGGCTCTTCTCAGGCCTTGAAAATGTTGCCTGTGAGGAAATGAACGGAATTAGTAGCTATTTTTGGGTAGGCGTGGACATCAAATGAACAAAAAGATGGCAAAAGACGATAAAGCAGCAAGAAAGACGCAACTATGGAGATGTAGGTGGTAGAATAGTGAATGATATTGCTCGCAAACAAGAAAAGATACATATATGGATGAGTGGTGTTAATGACATCCCTGCCCGACATAGAGCAGGACTCTGTACACGAACATCATAGTTGTCAAATGGGAAAGAAAGTGCGCAATTCCCAAATTCCCCTGACGCGGCAGGGCGGTGCGATGCATCTGGGGCGTCTCAATTGAGATCAGGACACTTACCGGCATCCCTCATTTGTGAACCCATAGCCGAGGGTTCTCATGTGGTTACCTATCGTGGTCCATTCTGAGCCGCTGATAACTCCTATATTCTTCACGGATAGAATGGTGAAGAACAAATCTTTATCGGCGCGATCATTCCAATTCTTGTTATTCATGATTGGAGAGTCAATGGCTAGCTATTCCCATGGAGCGGCCAGGGAGGTTGATGGCTGGTGGGATGGGCTGGTTGTGACTTCGTGCTGTGGATAAATATTGTTAAGAGCATTGGTGGAGCAACACGAAAATTGGTAGTGAACGATCATTCCGCACCGAGATAGAGGGGAAGGGAGACGCTTCAGGTGCCGTCGGACCGTGGAAGATAGATGTTCCGGCCATCTCGATCAACTCGAGTCGGCAAAACCTGCGTGTGAAGAGAAGAAAGAAGGTCATAGCTGAGGATACAAGCCAATCTTTGTCTTCTGGATCGAAGCCTACTTATCAACTATGCAGAACTTCTCGAAAAAAGAAATGACAGGCATCCTGCATTGGCTAGATACGGACTTGTCTTGGGCCAAGATGAAATGTGATAGCCGAGCCTGAGCCCCTGTTTAGCCGACGAAAAGGGCCTTCAGTGCTGGAGAAGGGGATCGAAGCCAGTCTCGCCACGGAGGGAGAGGCGCCTAGAGATTCAGGCAACAGCGCTGGGGTGGGGAGCTGGCCGGCATGGGTGGCTGGAACCCCCTCCCTTGGAGCAATTAAACGAACTCACGTGCTTTCGCGAAAACCTGGCGTAAACGGAGTAGCGCACTGCCCCCCAAAAGTTCGCGCCCGTCGCGTCTCCCTCCCACCTCACCCCATCCCCCCCATGACGACGATTGTGAATTGGCTCGTCTACGCAACCATATATGCTCCTGAAAGTGGTTCCAAACAAAGATTAGCATAGTTTTACTAAGTACGCAAACTTTCCTGGTCTTCTGAGCATGCGTGGTTGTTGCGTACGCAATTGCCCAGCTGGCGGCTTGCATCACCACTGGCCCGGCGACGTCAGCGTCTTCTATCACTACACCCACAAATGGCAGCTGCGCTTTTGGCCGGCCTGCAAAAATCGGTGAAAAGGACATGGGAAGGCCCATCAGTGTGACAACATCCCCACAATATGATCCCATCAAAATGAGGCTACATTTCTGGCTGAACTTAACGCAAGGGACAGGACGGCTAGCAGCGATTTACGTATGAGATGGTTGCCACACATCTGGGGATTATTGGGAAGTATAGTATTGGCACACAGTGCAGTCAGGCTCGCTGCGGATTGTCAAATGTTTGAAGGGCAATTCAATGACATAGACGACAGCTAAACTGCCGCCATCTGGTCTGGATCTGGCCACTAACATGCCAGGTAAATGCGGACGGATAGCTGACAGCTCGGTTCCGTTTCAACTAGCCCATGTACTGATATAAATGTTGGGCTTGGATCTATAGCTTACCCCGGCGCTTTTTGCTTATTCTACCAAAGAAGGTGCAGGAATGAGTCACAAGCCAAGTTAGGGTAGCGTTTCACTCGTTGCTGGAGCTATTGAGGATCCTCGGCGAAGGGGAGGGGGTGAGGGGATGACCGCAATTGAGCGAGTAAGCGGCTGCATATTATTTTTAATTCGCCCACGGACGGGGCATGCGGAAGAGGCATCGGATACAGCCACCCCTTGGGAAGCTTCGCTTAGGACCTGGGAGTTTCACAGAATTGCACAGGAAGCTGCTTCAGGGTGCTTGTCGAGCAAAGGCGATTTGCGCTGGCTCGATCCAATTGTCAATTGCTTGCGAAGCGCCTGGCAGCCGATTGTCGCATTCTGAGACGGTGCAAGATAAATTTTAGCGGGCTGCGGCGGGGGTTAGGGGGAGCACTCTGCGCCGTGGTGCGCCCCAAACGCCCAAGCAGGGCCGAGCTAGCACTGTAGAGCAGCACCGCAGCGCTGCAGCACTACCGCGGGCTAGTCCCGAAGCGGACACCGCCCCCCACCACACCCACCATCTTGCCATGCACGATCTTAAAGTGGCTCGAGCCCTGTCCGGCGTCCGGCCCAATCCCATGCCAGCTCCCCGTCTCGCCAGGCAACAATGGCCTCAGAGAGCTGCTTCTCATCTCGTACTCAGACATCTTTCCCTTGCCACTGTATGAGTTCGGAGCAGAGCTTCTGCATCACTAGGGAGACCCCAGTTTCTGCTTTAAGTGTTTCCCACGGTTCCTGGACAAGGGCCGGAACAGTCCCACACCATCTCCCGCTCGATATAAGTGCACCTGATGTCCTCGACCTGTCGTTCCGTTCACTCTCTTCTCTGCTTTGCATGAGCTCGTCTGTCTCTTGGCTTGACCTTTGTCGTTTAATCTTACGTAGCCACATCGCCCAACTACTCCTTTACGCCTCATCGCCAACGCAACCTGACACCAGACGCCTTCACTTCACCCACACTTGTTCACTTAATACATGCCCTTTCGTCACCCATCTCGGCTGATCTGTCTGCCTACCCCCAAGGCCTCCGATTGCACGCCGTGAATTTCTTCAGCCTTCCATCCGACTTCATTCCTATATTGTGAGTCTTGAGTCACCTGCCCATCCTTCGATCCACCCCTCTGCTGCCTTGCGTCCTCTGCCTGAGAACGTGAATTTCTGCCTCGGGGTATATATACACTTCGAAGTCTTCGGTCCACACTTCCCTAGATATCCTTGGCGAACCTCCTGTTGGAGTCAGCAAGGCTAATTGTATCTTTTGGTGTCTCCAGATAATTCACGCCAACATTTACCAGCCTTGTAACATGTCTCCTAACAGCGACAACGCCATGGCTCGATTTCTGTTCGCCATCCTAAAACAGAAGAACCTCAAAGATGTGGGTTTCTCGAACTGACATCCTGCTGAGATTGGCACTCCTGACACAATGCCTAGATCGACTGGAACCAAGTTGCCAATGACCCAGTGCTACTCCAACCCATCACCAACGGCCATGCCGCTAGAATGCGATACTCTCGCTTCCGGGCAACTGTCTCCGGCACCGGCACTCAGAAGAGAAACCGAATCGACTCCAAAGCCCGAGTAACGAAGCCCAAAGGGGGAAGAAGCGGTTCAGTCAAGAGTGATTCTTGCGATGCCGACATCAAGCAAGAACGCTCGCCTCCTCACCATGCACCAATGAGCCACTACTCGCCAACTCCGACTACATCCCCTTATTTGGCAGATAATCTCAGCACTCGCTTCTTGACCCCTTGCAGCGACGACATGGCCAATGGCTTCTTGGTCAACCCTGCTGCGATGGAGAGCATCAACCACCAGGCTGCTCCCAAGTACGCTTCTCCTCTCGACTTCATCAACTGCCCGCCTCAGCCATACTCGCCTGAGATGTCGGTGCTTGACGATGCCTTTGATATGAGCAGCCTCAGCGCAGACAGCGCTCGCCAATCCCTCGGCGATCACAGCCCTCTCTGGAACGACAACCTTCCATTTTGATACCCCACAAAGAACTTTTTCTTTTTTCTATTTATGAAGGATCGATTCGGAATCTAGGGAGAGTGCGTTTTCTGCCTTGTACCAAAAATGATGTGAAGCAAGAAAGAAAGAAAAAAAGGACGGAAGACAACGGCGTGGATCATGATTAGACATTTCCTTGTGTTTTTCTTTTTTTACTCTACATGTTCTGATTTTGACTTTTATGACTTAATGACTACGAACAGGGGACATCATTGCTTACTTACCAGATTGATGAGTTTTTCCTCCCTGTGGTGTTTGGTAAAAGGGAATGGCAGATCTCATTAGCTTATCCGCATCCTGCAATGATCATAATAAAGGACAGGCCAACTTGGCCATTCAGACTATATTCTGTAATCATTGAACTCCTATGTGAACTGAACTTCGGTGATATTTATAATCGATGTTGTTGTGCACGAGTGGCTTCTGGGATTTAATGATACAGCTTTGACTCTAGATCAGGAAGTTGAATTGTTGAATATCACACTCTCTTCTGCTTGGCACTGACAAACGAAAGTTGGGGTAAATACAAGCTAGAAAAAAGATACATAGTAGGGTACCTCGCGGGACCATGAAACCTGGCTCGGCTCCCAAGAATTCTCAGACACGGCTGCCCAGGAGCAGGTTTGGTCGTTGTGGTGATTTGCCCCTCACGCTCTCACTTCACCTTCAGATTAGCAACATCTAGCGTGACAAACAATAACATGCCAAAACCCCGCCTTCCGCACACCCATTCACTCGTTCCTCACTCCAACTTTCCTGGGAAATAGCAGTCAGCTCCTCCCTAAACACTCCTTCCACAACACGCCGTCTTCCACTCATTTGTGTTCCTCACCTCCAAACCTGCATCTGAGAATATTCTTCCTCCTCAACCAACCCCAAATTAAAGGACTCTGATTCAAAAGTCAGACTCTCATACCTCCCACTTCTTGTTCAGTAAAACAAACAGTCTTTCAGTCTCGACCAAAAACTTCACCATCAGTTTCCGACCAAGCAGCTGATACAATGGCTGATGAAAGTAAGCAGCCTCAACCCACGGCTTCAGAAGCCATGTTCTTTTTCTCCATCGTCAAGAACATGAAAACTCAGGCGGATATCGACTGGGTCAATGTTGCCGAGGATCGCGGTTTCAAGAACGCTGAAGTTGCCAAGGTATGCTCCAGTCTCAAGTTCTTCTGCCCTCCCATACGAACGTTTCACTAACAGATGGATTTCACCACCAGGTCCGCTTCGGCCAGGTCAAGCGCAAGCTTGGAATTTGGTCAGACAACGGCGGAGCAAAGGCCTCTCCCAAGAAGACCAAGACCCCCTTGTCCACTCCCACCAAGGTGACCAAGACACCCACCAAGCGGGGATCTGCCAAGGCTCGCATGTCCAAAATGAAGAAGGAAGACGACTACGACGATGAGGACAACAAGGAGGATCCCTCCAAGAACGAGTCTGACACCGATGGTGGCTCCGTCGCCAAGCAGGAGGAGACTGACGCCGGCCTCAACGATCCCTTCTAATCGTGCAGTGAGCACTGAGCACTTGTCACTCTCCTGATAATGGTGAACGGAATCTACAAAATATGATTGCTAGGAATTCTAGGTTTGAGGAAATATTCCGATCATTAGCTATGGTTTGTGGTAGTGAACACGGAGAGGGACAGTGAGAGAGTTAGACAAGGTCATTAGCAGAACGCAGAGAGCCAGATTACGATACCGCAGACTTCGCAATACAGAGAAAACTTGACTTGATATTCTTCCTTTCAGACGTAGCATTTGATCATTAAGCTCATTGACTAATACCATGGATATCGGTGGGAACAGATGACATGAATAGCACTGGGAAGCACCAGAGTGTAATCAAATGAGCCTTGGGCAGTGCCCTCTGCTCGTGTTTCTGGCATTTTCTCAGCATTGTTTATTTGGGGGGCCGGTTTGTTTTTTCTGAGCGCCTGCTCACCTTACATTAATGTGAGCTGCCTTAGCTCCAACACATTTCCCTGATCTCTCCTTCTTCCACACCAAGCGGCCACACTCCCTTCTCCTCTCAACACTCCTCCACACTCATCCCAAGAACAAATCATTTTCCAAAAACCATCTGCCAGCACTGCATACAGTCTATCCAACAACTCAAAAGCAAAAGGCTCTAAATCTACACCACATTTCAAGTTGCTTTCTCCAACATAACAGTGAGTCACCCTTTTTCATCCCATCCTCAGCCAGATCCCACTCAACTTTGACAACGATCTAACTGATATTCATAGCCATCACCATGCCACCCAAGAAGGCCACCTCTGGAGATGCAGATGCTCCTCAGGGACTCAACTCCAACGAGATGAAGTTCATCAAGGCGGTTTTCGACAACATGACCCAGAAGCCCGACGCCAACTGGGACAACGTCGCCGTCGACCTCGGCCTCAAGGACGCCAAGTGCGCCAAGGAGAGATTCCGCCAGCTCTCCGTCCGCCACGGATGGCGCGACCAGGCCGGTGCTGGCAACGGCGCCCGCAAGGCCAAGCCTGCCGCCGCCGCCAACGGCGTCACCAAGAAGCCTCGCACCCCGCGCAAGAAGAAGGCCATGAAGGAGGAGAGCGACGAGGACGACGACAACAAGAACGATGTCAAGTCTGAGGAGGACTCCGACAAGAGCGCCCGTGCCTCCATGGACGGATCTATCTAGACCTTTCGCTTTGGTCTCATTTGTGTACACCTGTATATGCTCTGCTATTGGAGACAGACTCTGGGGTATCATGGGACACATGGGTTTTAGATTGGCCTTTTCAAGATTTCATGGAGATTTGGGTTGAAGGGATTACATTAGAGACACATTTTGAACTACTATTTGTTTGATCAGGATAGCTTCATCTAAAGTTGCCTGAATGACGACGGCAGTAGCTAGTAGATGAACAGAGATCGATACCCATCTTTTCACCAGGGTAGCACATTTCCTAAGTGATTAATTACGTCTGTCTGTTCCTTCAAAAAAGTGCATACACGGCCGTTACTTGCCTTCTGAGCAGGGCCGCGAGGCCTAGCCTCTGTATTGAGTCTAGCATGGCTGCCTGCTGAGCCGAGTAGCAAACAAACACGGGGTCAATATAAAAACAATGCTTTTCAAATGTCAACAATAGGGCAGTGATGCTGGGCTTGTGGTCCTCCCGTTGTGTGGATGAGCCAATGAGACGGAGTGTAGCGGACCGCAGACTGATCACCTGCAGCCGAACTGACGGCATTCTGAGCAGAAGGTCAGATCAACGCACTCAGAGAGGCTCCCGGAGCTCCTTTACGACTGAGAGCACTCATTGACGGCCGGTCCAGCTGCCTGCCCAGCCCCTTCCCGCAGCACCCTCCCTCCCCTTTAAGACCTAGCCCCATCCCCCTTCTTCTCCCACTTCCTCACCTCTCAACTTACTCCTCCACATACCTGAACAGGCTTCATACGCACACAAAAAACAAGAATCTGCACTTTACTCTTTGCCCTCACTTCGCTTCAAAGTTTTTGCGCAACACATTTGTTGTCTCTTTACTTCTAACGATCTGATCGTCTGCATATTCTTGTCCCAAAGTTGACAACCCATCTTCACTCCCATTTTACCATCACTTCAAAACACCTTTCTTCAACAACCACGACAGCCAAGATGTCAGTCAAGGCAGATGCTACTGAGCAGGTGCGATTCCTGGTGCACTGCATCGGAAACGCCCAGAATGGACGAGTGAGTATTTCTTCCATCCCAACAACTCCGTGCCCAGCTTTTTCATCCAGTCACTAATGAATCCCATAGCCTGATTTCAACGCCGTAGCTACTGAGATGGGCATCGTCTCCAAGGCTGCAGCGTGAGTATTCCCCTTCTTCTCCCACAATTTCCCCAAAATCCACATCCATCTGACCCAAAAAACCACACAGCCAAAAACGTTATGAGAGACTGCTCAAGCAGTACAACATCACCCGCAAGCCAAACCTGGCATCTGCTACCACTAATGGTGACAGCGACTCTACTCCCAAGAAGGCCAGCCCCAAGAAGCGAGCTGCCCCCGCCGGAGTCAACGGCAGCCCTACCAAGAAGCGCGCCGGCCGCGGCGTCAAGAAGGAGGAGACTGACGAGGACGAGGATAAGCCTCCCAAGACTCGCTCTCCCCGCGCTGCCGCCCAGAAGGCCGAGGCTACTTCTGGTGACTCCTCCGAGGAGAAGCCCGTCAAGGACGAGCGCGAGGAATCTCCCCTCTCTGGTAAGTTTATCATATCCAAAACAGATTCACGAAAATGGATGAACTAGGTGGCTAACTGTGTGACATCAGATCCCCCCACTGACAATGAGTAAGGTCTGAAGGTATCTTCAGAAAAAAAGCCCGGTCTGTTTGGGGAGTTTGGTTTAGATTGACTACAGGCGAGACGGGAATCTGGAAGTTACGATGTGTGTTGGTTGGGTACGACTTGCTCTCAGCGCTGGCTGCGAACATTGGAGACACTCATGATATTTTGCCCAACAGGAAATTTGGTCTGCTTTTTTTGCTCTTTATTTACTAAATAGTCATGAAGAAAGGTGACTGCTCAGTAGAAAATGGAATTACAAGTTCATCATATCTTCTCATCGGCATTTGTGGCATAATACGGGCTGATCAGCTCCTGGTTCTATGAGTGACACTCCTCCAGCTCCCAGACTCTAGTCAGGGCAGAGTAGAGATCGTGTTTTGAGGGCTGCTTCACTGGTCTCAGTTCCAAGAGCAAGAGACCTGCAGCTCGAGCGAACAATAGGAATAAGGCGAGAGTAGGCACGGCGTTCTGCCATTGTGGCTATTGAGACAGGCTCGAGCATAGAGCCCGGTCACGTAACACGACCGTCCCCTCTTTCACTCCGATTCACCCCTCCTCTGCTGCTATTGTCGAAGCCTGCGCATCGCATTCAATGTAAAGCTGCACATACATGCACAATTGAACATTCAATATGCGCCCCCTCTTCTCCTCTAATGACAATTAGAGCCCCCCCTTTCAATACATCCGTAGATTTGATCTTAGATAGAATAGCAAACCTTCTTCCTGATATCTCTGCATCTTCCATCTTTACTCGTATCCAACTTCAAGATATTCGTGAAGATATCATCCACTAACTCGTGTTTCCAAACCAATCTCCAGCTTCAGTCACCCAGATCACTCAAGCCGCTTCATCATGTCGCGTCCAGCTTCTCCTCTTCTTCACGCTGTCAGCTATCAGCAAGAAAATGAAACAAACAACCGCCGCAAGCCTCCTGCTCTGCACATCCCAAACAAGAAACCAATCTCCGGAATTGAGATTGTTCACAAGCACTGCATCACCCCCTCTTCTTCAGAAAGGAGCCTCAACACCGAGATCTCTTACACCCACAGTGACATCGAGACGATGAACCACGTCCTCTTCCAGGCCAGACAGAGCGGAGAGCTCCCCAGCACAACCTCGTCCCCCATGGACGCCCAAGCAGTCATCCAAGACTACGGCTATCTCACCCGGCTCAGAGAGGCCCGCGGCGACGCCAGACATCCTCCTCCGACCACTTACACGGAACTCCGCGTCGAGGTCGCCCGCCGCATCAAGGACCGTGACTCTTTTCACAATGATGAGGAGAGCCGCCAGGAGGCGATACGCAGGGTGCACCACTATCTGAACACCCTCGGGACGGAGAAGCGGTTCTTCGACGCCAACTCGAATACTGCCGAGCGCCCGTCATCGGCCCGGAGTGATATTGAGAGTTTTGGTGAAAGTATACTCTCTATTGTTGAGCAAGCAGCGGATCAGACTATGGTCGATGCCGCGGAGCCTCTTCGATTCAACGTTCAGCAACTGAAAACGCACAATTCAGAGTTGGACAACCTTCTAAAGACGCACACTTCTGAGTACGACAAGCTTCTGAACCACCAGCAAGACCTAGTCAGAGCCCTCAGCGCAATGATCAATCCCCAGGCCAAGGCGATCCAGACTTCCGGAGAGAACCTCGCCCTTCTTACTGGAATCGTCACCCATCTTTCTCAATTCTCCATGAATCTCCCATACGTCGTCGACCAAGCTGTGCAGAGAGCCGTCCATCAGCAAACAGAGGCAGCAATCCAGCAGGTCCTCCAGGCCCAACAAGAAGCAGTTCTTTCTCTCTTACAGCGGCGTCAAGAGAACACACAAAGCAACCAAGTCATAAACTATGATTTACTTTCGACGTCGATCGTCTCAAAACTGCAGACAACCGGCTGCTTAAATTTTAGTCCTGAGCAAAGTTTAGCAAAGGAAGAAAAAGGTCCCCGTGATGGGTTGAGGAAATTCTGGCATCGCGTGAAGCCATCCATCATGATTCGATGAAAAGAATCTGGGGAGATCTCTGACGAAGTCGCTTCAAGGCAGATATAGGAGGAAAAGTGTTTTAATTGCGTTCAATTCGATACCCAAGACTCCTGAATTGTGGATTTCTATTTTGTAGCTATATGCCCGACTTAGTCAACTCAGAGTCCGATCAGCCCATGAAGGATACATTACGAAAGAAGCAAGTCCTGTTTAACAAAGTGCGATCATCTAATCCCGCCATATTGAAATGCAAATCAAATACACTCCAGTCCCCGTGAAAGTTTGGAAAGAACAGCAGACATCCGAGGTGCGGACCAACGCCTGAGCGAGCAAAGAGGTGCGTGGTAGGGTTTCCCAATGCAAACCCTTACGTAGAATTGACAGTCAACCGGATTGTCTCGCATGGAAGGTATGGTAAATGAATATTCACGTACCTTAAGTGGATATTGTTGAGTAATTGCGTGGGTGGGTGGCTGGGAGCCAGCCCATCACAAGGCTCAACAGTTCGCAAGTCCTGAGGGAGGGAGGTCAGTAGCTATTGCAAAGGTCAAGTCAGCGTGGGAAGTTACTACAGGCACTTGGTCAAGTTCGGCGGGGAATTAATGCCTAAAAAGCATGATGCGCGTAAGAAATCTGACCAATTTAGCATTGGAAGGGTCTCAGGTTGATCTCCCATCTTTCCTCTACTCCAGAGAGGGGATGGGAAGCAAGATGAAGGGGAAGAAGAAGTGGCATTTTGTGAGCGAGACGCGTTGGAGACGAGCCCAGCCATCCGATCCATCAAGGTTCTTTTAAGGTTCATTTTCTTTATCATTGTCTTCAAGCGTCAATGTTGAGAAAGACTCTGTGCCTGGCAGGGCTACAATGACGAGACGCGACCTCAACATCGAATGAATCGACCTTGGCTAATGGGGCTCGGTTTCTGTTTGAATAAAGATTCCATTTAATTTCTCAGCCTATTGAGCGTTCATTTTGCGCCCTCTAGTATTTAAATGATCCAAGGGACAATGCATTGACCTGGGTCTTCTATCTTGGAGAGGTTTCCAGTGAATGATACCTAGATGCATGCTCACAGATCGCTACACAATAGGTTTTGTTGTGGCATTAAAAAGCTTTTGAAAGAACCCCAATGATCAAAATTCTACCTCGTTCACCCAATGTTGAATTCTGTATTCTTGCGTGAGAAATCAACGAGTGCGCACATCCCCACGGCCGGTCCCAAGTTCCCACTACCTGCAAAATGTTGAGGTAGGTACCTCCAGGCAAGACGGAAGTCATAAAATGGGAAGGCACGGAGGTACCATGGTTGAGACTTGTATAAAATTAGCACCATTTGCTGTTCTTTCTGTTTTCCAGCTTCCATCCTACTCTTGCCTCCTCTCCTGCCTGCCATGGAGTTTCTCATATTTGCAGGCCAACGTTCATTCAAGGCCGGGTGTCAATCGCCCTCGAAAGCCAAGCGAACAATGGTTACTTTTTTACGTCGAGGGAAAACTTCGAGTCCAGTCAAATGGTCAATGTAGAGCCCGGTTTCAACAATGCACTGGGCGTAAGGTTGCCCGCCAGACGGTACCTGAGGCACACTGATGAATACCTGCAGACAGCTATTGACGTAACTGATTGAACAATGGGCGAATACGATGACCCAATAGGCTGCCTCGCATGTCGGTACATGTTATTCTTTCGTCTTAGCGCGGTCGAGTCCGCGTCTCTGGCGACTGTTGCCAACTGCCCGTCTGTTAAGTCCCAGCCCCCCACGCCGCTGCGCAAACAGTCTCAATGGAAATCAGAGTGACTTCGTGTAGATGCTGAGCGGTCGACTCCGTCCAGCCTCTTTCTCTTCCTCGTGTCCTTCACCTTCTCTCATTCTTTTCTTCCTCCGCAGAGTTCTTCCATCCGTTGTCTGCGGTGTTTCATCCTCAATACCATCAGACGTCCATCCCAACTTGAGAATTCTCTTCTAGCAATCATCCTCTCTTTGGTTTTACTCGAGTTTAACACGATTTTCTGTATTGCTGGCAATATAGAGATCAGAAAAACAACAGCGAACCATCATCACTTGTATCCGCCTAGAAAGACTTTTCGGTTTCCCGCCTCGTTTTGATAGATATCAAAGGTGAGCGAGACTCAACTCCCAATTTCTCGTGTTTGCCATCTCAAATTCGGTATGATTCTCTAATACATTCATAAGCAGACTTACGAAAATACTCGAACCTACTCTCGTCAAGATGGGTTCTAAGACAGCGAAGCGAACACCGGCCAAGGATGGTCGTTCGCCAATTGCAACTCGCCGCTCGGCCTCGAAGAGCCTCAAGGCTGAGCAGACACCTTCACCATCACCTGCCAAATCGGCATCGTCCAGAAACCGAACACCGCGCAGCGCATTCACCCATCGTCCTCCCACTGCGGAGGAACGAAAGTCCAATGGCCGCGTTCCAGGTCGGAACTTGATCGTTTGGGGACGTAAGTAAAATTTTACCCCAATCATCATCTCCTCTTCTTCCCCCATTCTTTCTTTTCCTTTACTTCATAAGAGGCTCTACTAACTATTTCACAGGTCCTCGCATGGCGGAGAAACTTCTCTTGCACATGCAGTATGAACTTGCGCGCCACAAGATTCAGGTTCCCTGGGACTACGTGGCTCATCGTCTTCACCCAGGATCCTCTGGTGCAGCCATTGTTCAGCATCTTAACAGGATCCGGCGAGAACTGGTTGCTAAGGGCCACCTCGTTCCGCCAGCTACTTCACGCAATGGTGCCGTCCACCCTGAATCCACTGACCCAACTGTCCGAGGCTACGTCCGCGAGGACATGGACGGTGAGGACAAAGAGTCTGTTCGGCCTGTGCGCTTCGATGAAGTCATGGATGACCGCAAGTTCAATCTTCCCAGTATGGACAACCTCGATGTCATTGCCGAGAGTACCGGGCGTGAGCTCAACGACACTGAAGACAGTGACAATGAGGATGGCCCATCTCATTTGAACTCGACTAGCCCTTCGGGCGATTCTGTCAAGTCCATGAACTCATTCTACCATGCCCAGCCTAACTCGAATGCATACGCTCAGCTGCAGACACCTGTCTCTCCAGGCTATCCTGCTCTGGGCGGCGCAATGCCATCTCCAGCGGATCAAGTAAGTTCAACCGCCCAAGCAGGTATATCGATTCGGAGTTACTAACCCATCTCAGAAGTTCTTCCCCGGCAATGGCAATTCACCTCACAAATACCCCGGAGAGAATGATGGCCAGTATCCTGGATTTTATTTTCCAGGCGCTTCATTCCCGAACCCGATGATGTACAACCAAGCCATGCCAAGTGATCCTTTCTCATTTTCTCAGCCTCAAGGGCACGATGAATCGTCATCAGAGCAGCAGGCAAATCACTCTGCCAAAAATGGAGCAGCTGGCCCTATGCCTATGCTCCCCCATCCCAACTACCCTTACGGATACCCATGGATGCCATTTCCAATGAACCCGTACCTTCCCTATGGGCCTCCTATGCAGGGAGCTCACCAGCAGACACCAGTGGATCCCAAGAAAGAATCGCCTCGCGGTGATGATTCTCTTGTTGTCCAAGATGTGCAGTCAGAGCAGCCCAACATGGATGACCTTTTTGTGAGTAGCACCCCTCAAGCAGGGCAGGCAACACAGTCTGACCGCCAGTGAACAGGATGTCGACCTCAGCGAAGAGGCTTCCCTTCAAGCTTTACTTGAAGGGGAAGATGATTCCCTTGAGACTGTACAGGAGAACGAAGATTCATTTGAGACTGTACTTGGAAACGACGATTCCCTTGAGACTGTGCTGGCGAACGAAGATCCCTTTCAGAACTTACCCGAAGATAATGACGATTCTCTTCACAATTTACTCGATGAGGAAGAGTCCCTTCAGAATTTGCCCGAAGAGAATGAAGATTCTTTCCAGACTTTACTCGAGGATAGTGAAGGCTCTTTCCAGACCTTCTTTGAAGAAGATGAGGAGTGATCAGAACACGCACTTGAGGTAACAATTCACGGTTTCACCATTTAGTGATTCCTCTCGGTTTGTCAGTGGCGCACTTCTTCCGTCTCAACAAACAAAATCAAAAACACCAGAAAAAAAGCGAGTAAGAGAGAAAGAGAGAACGGATTGCATTTGCGGCGCTTACAGAATTTCCTTCATTTACAAACCGGACACAGGGCATCGTTTTTCATTTATACATTGTATTTCATGAAGTCAGTGGCAATCTTCTAGACAGCCGACTTCATTATTGTTTCGTCTGCGTACAGCGATTGGACCAGGTTACAGCTTGGATCTTCTGTTACAGCGAGGTAAAACAAAAAGGAAACGGTTAGAAAAAAGCCAGACAGCCAAAACAGGGTTGGTGGGTGAGTGCTTCGAAGGCACATTGCTCAAAAAGTTACTGGTACTGGATTCATATTTCTGATTATTTGCGCCGAAAAGAACGGCCAACTAGATTTGCTGACAGGAAAAGATGACCATCACATGGCATATTTGAGGAGTTTCATTTGCTTTTAACTACAGATATACAGAAGTTCCAAAATAGGGTGCAACATGAAATGTACCTAATTATCATTCTCAGTCAAGCACAACTTCACATCATATGAACAGCGATAAATGCGTTCGTGTTCTGAGGTGAATTGACACTTCTGTGGGTCCAATCAGGGCACAGACGTTTCCAATGCCGAGCCAAAGACCTAGCCTCGGGTATGGGCGGATTTCATTATGCCCGCGCTGCTGAAGCAGGCGGTCAACCGCACCCCAGACAGGCACAGGATCGCATCGCATATGTAGGCTTCATGCCGGCAATATGCATCGAGAATGGGCATTGGAAGGGTGTGGAATCTGAAAGTGCTGCAAGGTGGGGTTGCAGCCCAGTTTGGTTCTAGCGGCGTCACTGGGTGGAGGTTTAGCCGATCTCCGTGACAATTTTTTTTGGAGCTTCAAGATGCTTTCGCTCAAGCCAGACCGAATTCTTCTTCTTTCTCCCCTTCTATCCCCGGATCCCGCGTCCTCTCCCCCAATCATCGGTTGGAGCTCTTGTCCTTTGTTATAGCGAAAGCAGCGCTCTCTTTGTAACAATTGTATATTCTCCTTATAATTCTCCCACCCACACACACATACCAAGATGCAGCGCGCATTGTCTTCCCGGACCCGAGCTTCGGCTCTCTCTGCCGCTTCCAGATACCGAGCTGGAGCTGGTCTCGGCCAGCAGCTGCGCTTCGCCCACAAGGTATGACAATCAGCGGCTATGATAGATGGACTATCCAACTAACAATGGTAACCAGGAGCTCAAGTTCGGTGTTGAGGGCCGTGCTGCCCTCCTCGCTGGTGTCGATACCCTCGCCAAGGCTGTTGCCACCACTCTGGGACCCAAGGGCCGAAATGTCTTGATTGAGTCAAGCTTCGGCTCCCCCAAGATCACCAAGGGTAGGCACCACATCAGACCAAGCTCCCGTGCAAGTATGCAGCTTTCTAATTATGAATTGTAGATGGTGTTACCGTTGCCAAGTCCATCGTTCTCAAGGACAAGTTCGAGAACCTCGGTGCCCGTCTTCTCCAGGACGTTGCCTCCAAGACCAACGAAGTTGCCGGTGACGGTACCACCACTGCCACCGTCCTCGGCCGTGCCATTTTCTCCGAGACTGTCAAGAACGTTGCCGCCGGTTGCAACCCTATGGACCTGCGCCGTGGTATCCAGGCTGCTGTCGACGCTGTCGTCGAGTTCCTCCAGAACAACAAGCGTGACATCACCACCAGCGAGGAGATCGCTCAGGTTGCTACCATCAGTGCCAACGGCGACCACTACCTCGGCAAGATGATTGCCAATGCCATGGAGAAGGTCGGCAAGGAGGGTGTCATCACCGTCAAGGAGGGCAAGACCATGCAGGATGAGCTCGAGGTCACTGAGGGTATGCGATTCGACCGTGGATTCGTCTCCCCCTACTTCATCACCGACACCAAGTCCCAGAAGGTCGAGTTTGAGAACCCTCTCATCCTCCTCTCTGAGAAGAAGATCTCCGCTGTCCAGGACATCATCCCTGCCCTCGAGGCCTCCACCCAGCAGCGACGCCCTCTTGTCATCATTGCTGAGGACATTGACGGTGAGGCTCTTGCCGTCTGCATTCTCAACAAGCTCCGTGGTCAGCTCCAGGTCGCTGCCGTCAAGGCCCCCGGCTTCGGTGACAACCGCAAGTCCATCCTCGGCGATCTTGCTATTCTGACCAACGGTACCGTCTTCTCCGATGAGCTCGACATCAAGCTCGAGAAGGCTACCCCTGATCTGCTCGGTACCACTGGCTCCATCACCATCACCAAGGAGGACACCATCCTCCTCAACGGTGAGGGTAGCAAGGATGCCATTGCTCAGCGATGCGAGCAGATCCGTGGTGTCATCGCCGATCCTACCACCTCCGAGTACGAGAAGGAGAAACTCCAGGAGCGTCTGGCCAAGCTCTCCGGTGGTGTTGCCGTCATCAAGGTCGGTGGTTCCTCCGAGGTCGAGGTCGGTGAGAAGAAGGATCGCTTCGTCGATGCTCTGAACGCTACCCGCGCCGCCGTTGAGGAGGGTATCCTGCCCGGTGGTGGTACTGCCTTCCTCAAGGCCTCCGCCCAGGCTCTGAACGGTCTCAAGCCCGCCAACTTCGACCAGCAGCTTGGTATCGGTATCATCAAGAGCGCCATCACCCGCCCTGCTCGTGCCATCATCGAGAACGCTGGCCTCGAGAGCTCCGTCATCGTTGGCAAGCTGACTGACGAGCACGCCAGCGACTTCAACAAGGGTTTCGACGCCTCCAAGGGCGAGTACGTTGACATGATCTCCGCCGGTATCCTGGATCCCTTCAAGGTCGTCCGCACTGGTCTCATTGATGCCAGTGGTGTCGCCTCTCTCCTCGGAACTACCGAGGTCGCCATCGTCGAGGCCCCCGAAGACAAGCCTGCTGGTCCTCCTATGGGCGGTATGGGAGGCATGGGTGGCATGGGCGGTATGGGCGGTATGATGTAAACGGCTAAAACGCGAATCATGAGAAAAGAAGAAAAGAACGGCCCTGTGTTTGTAGCATTAAAAAGGTACCAGGCTTGATGGTGCATGGCTTCGGTGTTTACCAAGGACGGTCGGTTGGATCAAGTGGCCCTGCAAATCTCCCCTCTCCTTGTCTACGTTGGTGTAGACGTGTTTTCATACCCTCTGGATGATTTTCAGGCAACTTGTTGGGACCCTGTATAATACATAGCATGTACACTTGCCAGTTATGACTCAATATATTGTATTAATACCAATGCGAAGAACCGTCGAAAACGTGAAGAACAAGCTAAGATACATATGACGGTGCCTAGTTGATAGCTGAGACACGGGTGTCGGGAAGCTATGGAGCTGCCCCGGGGACGAAGAATGAAGGCCCTGCTGCCTTGAGATAGATCCGTCGACAACGCGCACAGTACGGAGATTGTCGATACCTGCCCGGTGTCGTGATACCCGTGCATCCGGTATTTTGGTGCCTGGGGCCGGGAGACTGTCGTCATCAGCAGCCCAAGCTCCAATGCCCTGCTCTCTCTTCCTTGTTGTCGAAATCAGCTCACAGAGCAAGCTCCGGATCACGTGCGCCCATCTCACAGGCAACCCCCCACCACGGCCAGCCACTGTGGAGTGTTTTTCTCGTCTGTGACACCGGGTCCCACCGCAGCTGATTACCCTACTGCCTACCACCTTGCCTGCCTCATCAATCTAGTTCCCCCTCCATCTGCGATACCTGTCTTTCCTGTCCACGCAACGCCTACTAAGGATTGCCCCCGAATATATACGCAAGCCTTCTGTACCCTCCCTCGGTGAGTCTTCTTCCTCTCCTCCCTCCCCTCCTCCTCCACCATTATTTAATCCTGCCTCGTGCGCACCTGTTCTCTTAATTCGTCTTGCAGCCACCTGAACTGACCCAGCTGTTAGTCCCGCCCCCCTCATTCCGGTTCTCACAGCCCACCATGGTAAGCCGTCATGTCCTCATGTACCCAAGCATTTGATTCTCTAACCTCTCTTCGCAGTCTCAATCCGGGTTCGTCTCATCTCCTACCCCCTCGTTTTCGACGCTCCCTTTTCTACTGCTACCCCGCTTCCGGACTGTCTGGCGCGCGCCGACAATGACGGAGCCGCGGGGTACAGGAGCTCATCGAGACGTCTGCATGACCACACCACGGCGCTAACCTTTCACCTAACAGAGCGACCGTCTCGCAGGAGTGCATCACTGCCTACAATGACCTGAAGCTTAACAAGAAGTACAAGTTCATCATCTACAAGCTGTCAGACGATTACAAGGAGATTGTTGTCGAGGAAGCCTCTGACAGCAAGGACTGGGAGGCTTTCCGGGAGAAGCTCATCAATGCCACCTCCAAGAGCAGATCCGTACGTCTCGCCTTGGCTTTTCTCCCGCACCGGCCGCTGCTGGATCTATTGGCTAATTCGCAATTCCTCAGGGTGCTGTCGGCAAGGGTCCCCGTTACGCCGTCTACGACTTCGAGTACAGCCTTGCCTCTGGCGACGGTCTCCGGTATGCCGTAACCCAAAAGAATTATATCCCGGTGGTTCTGGCACCTGTGACTGACAGACTTTGCAGCAACAAGCTCACCTTCCTTGCCTGGTCTCCTGATGATGCCGGTGTTCAGGTGCGTCAATAACATCCACCCCGCACAGTGAAGCGACCATGATGCTGACCGCCAATTCCACAGCCCAAGATGATTTACGCTTCCTCCAAGGACGCCCTCAAGCGATCTCTGACTGGTATCGCCACAGAGTTGCAGGCCAACGACCCCGATGACATCGAATATGACTCCATCATCAAGACCGTCAGCAAGGGCCTTGCTGGTTAAACGATTCCACTGACCCGCCATTCCCCGGCGCTGTCCTTGAGAGCGAATACTTTAATGTGCTTCCTGGAGGCTCTTCCGTCTTGGAGCAATCAGTCATGACAAACGATGATGAAACGTCGAAGAGAGATAGAGTAGCTGTAGGGCGACCTCCTAGGATGGTCTCGTCTAAGGGCTTCCCGTGGACCAGGTGCATACATTCTCAGATTTGGCCAGCCCCATCATGATGATATACCGTATTATGGAAATAAAAAATCACAGGCAGCATGCCAAATTTTTTCCTTGGTTCTGTCATTCCGTTAATTACTTTTTGATCTTTTTTTCTTCTGCTTCTGTACTATTCTTCATATCTGCCCAGTATACGCACTTCTATGGCCCAGCTTTGCTGCTTTCCCAGCTCGACTTGAACAACGTAGACAGCTTCTCGGCCTCCGCGTCGTCCTTGAGGCGCTGTGACAGGAACCCCTTTAGATCTGACCAGAAGAGGCTCGTCTCCAGCGCATCCGCGCCGGTGGGCGCCACCACCAGGGGCCTGCCGCTGCCCTCTTCCTCAAGCGGCGGGATGGCGGCGGCGCCTCCCATGACCATGAGCGTGAACTCGACCGACGTGTCCGCGTCCCCGAGCAGCTCCTTGAGCACCTTGCTGTCGGGGACGGGCTTCTTGTTGTGGAGGATCTTGAGCTTCTCGACGGGGGCCCGCGTCTGGGCGTGGACCTGCGCCTTGAGGTCGAGGATGGACGTGTCGAGGGGCTGGGAGGTGAGCTTGATGTCGAGCGGGGGGTTGCGGGCGGACTTGAGGGTGACCTTGACGCTGCGCTCCTGGCCCGGTGCGAGGTTCGTGGGCTTGCTCATGGGCTTGGGCATCCGGGGGAGGATGTACTGGAACATGACATGTTAGAAACGATTGCTGCTCGACGAATCTATAGCAATAGGGTTGAGGGGAGGGGGGCGTTAACGTACGGGCTGGCGCCCTGGATACTTCCTCGCATCCTCTACATAGTCGGCCGGTAGCTTGATCGGTCGCGCATCGAGCGTCGTGAGGAAGGTGGAAGCAAATGATACTTCGGCCATCTTGTCTGGAATTGAAGCCGTTGCAGTGTGGGGAAGGTGGGTGGTTGAGTTGTGCCCAGGAATAGGCTCGCGTTTGGATTCCGAGTAATTGGGCGATCAAGTATGTTCCCCAATAAGTGGCCCGTCGCCGTATGTCAAGGTTGAACGTTTAAGCTAGGCTTACCTAGTGTCCCGAAAAGCCAAGTTGTCCTGCTCCTGCGCATGGAGATGCGAGTGATGATGTCCAGCATCGCCGGCTGGTGGGGCAGAGCGGCACTCAATTATCACGTGGGGCAGCTGCTCATCAATTGCATGACATTAAACATAGACACCAAGCTCCCTGGCATTGGCTTCGGACGATCAGGAATTTACATGATAAGATATAGTGTCAACCAATCCTTCATTCCTTCTAATTTAGTTATTAGAGTCAATCAAATTATTATAGGTCTATAAGTTCCAACTTCCAAATCAGATGCTGTCTCAGGTGTCTCATTATTTCTGTCACCCATCTGCCCCATCGCATCCCGATACGAAGATTCTCCGATCTTATCGGACCCCTGCCCCAAACCTTCTGAAGAAAAAAAAGTTTCGGTGGGGCCTCGACGGCCTCGTACTCAGCCATCAAACAGAGGTTCCTGGTGAAGACGACGCAAAACGTCAATTCCCCGGCCTACATTGTTTCCTGCCTTTCGCTTCTACACGAACCGTCGATTGGAAAGCAGCGCGTCTACAAGATGGGTGTCGGAAGACGAATGAAGAAGCAGGGCCCTCCTCAGCCGCTGTCCGAGGAGCATTTCGCAAAGCTCAAGCGCAAGGCTGGCCTGCCCGTCGATGCGCCGACCGAAGCCCCGGAGAACAAGAGGAGGAGGACGGCGAAGAAGCCTGAGCCCAAGAGCAACGGGTCTGCATCCAAGAAGTCCGGGTCGGCATCAAAAGGTTCAAAGCCCGCGAAGGGAGCCAAGGAGTTGCCCGCGGCCAACGGCAAGTCGTCAAAGTCAAAGGCACCCAAGAAGCCTCTGCTTGAGGAATCAGAGGAGGAGGATGATGAGTTCGATATGGAAGACCTAGAGGCCGACGGCTCGGATGACGAAGTTCAGAAGATTGGCGACGATTTCTTGGGGTCTGATTCCTCCGTCTTCGACTCCGACGACGAGGGCGGCCAGACCAAAGCCATGTGGTCCGAAGATGAAGATGAATCAGACGCCGAAGAGAAGCTCACAGCCGCCAACATTGTTGGTCTGTCGAGGAAATTAGACCAGAAGCTGGAGGAGGAAGCCGCGGCAAACGAGGAGGAAATGCTGCAAAGTGCCTTACAGACCAACATCAGCGGCGATAAGCCTAAGGTGCTGGCAGATGAGGACGACGATCTTGAAGCCGAGAAGAACGAGTTTCTGGCTCCTGATCTGCAGCTTTTACGGACAAGAATCACAGAGAACATTCGAGTCTTGGATGATTTCAGCAACCTCCGCCAAGAGGGCCGCTCGCGTGCCGAGTACACTGCACAGTTGCTCAAGGACGTCTGCGCCTATTACGGCTACTCTGAGTACCTTGCCGAGAAGCTCTACAACCTCTTCACCCCACGTGAAGCCTTTGCCTTCTTCGAGGCCAACGAAACCGCACGTCCTGTTGTCATCCGTACAAACACTCTTCGCGCCAACCGACGAGAGCTTGCTCAGGCGCTGATCAACCGTGGTGTCACCCTCGAGCCTGTGGGCAAGTGGTCCAAGGTCGGCCTGCAAGTCTTTGAGAGCTCAGTACCCCTAGGTGCTACGCCCGAGTACCTCGCTGGTCACTATATTCTCCAAGCCGCATCCTCTTTCCTACCCTGCATGGCCCTCGACCCGCAGGAGAATGAGAGGGTTCTGGATATGGCCGCTGCCCCAGGTGGTAAAACAACCTACATGGCCGCAATGATGAAGAACACCGGAATCGTCGTCGCCAATGATCCCAACAAGGCTCGTGCCAAGGGTCTCATCGGTAACATTCACCGTCTTGGTGCCACCAACGTCATCGTCTCCAACTACGACGCTCGGGAGTTCCCCAAGCCCATGGGCGGCTTCGACCGAGTCCTGCTCGACGCTCCCTGCTCCGGCACCGGCGTCATCGCCAAGGACCCCAGCGTCAAGACCAACAAGACGGAGCTCGACTTCATGCAGCTGCCGCACATCCAGAAGCAGCTGATCCTCGCCGCCATCGATTCCGTCGCCCACAACTCCAAGACGGGCGGCTACATCGTGTACTCGACCTGTTCCGTCACCATCGAGGAGAACGAGGCCGTCGTGCAGTACGCCCTCAAGCGCCGGCCCAACGTCAAGCTCGTCGAGACCAACCTCGCCTTCGGGAAGGAAGGGTTCACCAGCTTCCGCGGCAAGTCGTTCGACCCCAGCATGAGCCTCACCCGCCGCTACTACCCCCACAGCTACAACGTGGACGGCTTCTTCGTCGCCAAGTTCCAGAAGATTGGCCCCACGCCGGCCAAGACCAGCGCGCCCCGCGAGAGGTCCTCGGGAGGCGCCCCTGAGGTCATCGACAGGACTCCCATTGCTCTCGATGATGACGAGGACGACAAGGCCAAGAACGACGACTTTGGCGGGTGGAACGAGGATGAGGATGAGCAGTACATTGAGAAGGGAAGGAGGAATGCCATGAGGAGACGTGGTCTGGATCCCCACAGCGCCGGTAAAAAGTCGAAAAAGTCGAGCAAGTAATTTAGATGGCATGTAGATAGAGAAGAGGTCCCTAAAAATGTTAATTTACGCGAATCATTTCACAAGCATTGTGCACACACACTTCACTCATTTTCAATGTGACCGTTTTGCAAAAGATGTTCTTTTCAATGTTTCCACCGTGAGGTGACGAGTATTAAAAGGACTATAGAAAAGGTGTGAAGCCGTGAACAAAAGGAATAGTGTGAATTGTAGGTGACAATTCGTCATGAGCACATCGTTCGTATCGTCATTACCCCCCCGCATCGTGTAAAATAAGGCTAAAAAAAGAAGAAAACACACATAAGCCTGCTCCCTCCCCTTTGGTTCCTCGTCCGTTTCTCGTCCGAGAGTCTCTAGCCGTCCAATGTCATCATCATTTCATAAAATACAAGGTGGATATAAGAAAGATATTGGTGTCGAGCAGAGGTCATCCTCATGCTCGTCTTCAAATGAGTGTCGGTGATTTTGGTATTCTGACTGGTTCGTACCAGCCAGGTAAGAAGCAAAACGCTGTCGTTAAATGTCTTGTCTATTCGGTGTAGGATTCTTGTCCTTTTGAATGTTCCGTAGTCATTCCGATTCGTGTCGGTGTCTTGTTGCTGTTCATCAATCATAAGAGTATCAATATTACAAAAGGTCGTAGAATAGTCGTTCGTAGGAAGAAATCTGAGAAGCGGTGGGAAAGGTTGCCGTAGGGCCTCACATGGGCAATTCGTCGAATTGAGAGACGAGCTCACGAATAGTCCATCGCCAGCTCTCACGGTCTCGGGTTCCACGGCCAGCCCACTTGCCACACTTCTTGCGCCATCTATCCTCTTCCTCACGTTGGCGTCTGATAAACTCAGGACCAACGTCAAACTCTTCGCCAACTAGCCAGTCATCGTTGATGTCGCTGACACGGCCTTGGCCCTCTTCGTCCCCAGTCATTTCTTCAAGGTCAGGAATATCCTTGAATACGTCTTCATCATCATCAAGGGCATTGAAGTTTTCCAGTGGGTCGGATTTGTCTGACTTTGGACCCTCCTGCTGTGCTCCCAGCTTGAGCCAGCACATACTTGAAGGGTCAAACACCATTCCGTTGACTACCTGCACGCCTTTGGTCGTGCTGATGTTGGTAATAAGTGCCGGGCGGGGTGTCGTGGTTGAGTTCTCACGCACATGGCCCGACGGAGCTGCAATTGGTGTAACAACCCCAGCGTCAAATGCGCTCAGGGCATTCTCATTGCCCTCCCAGCGATATGTATCCGCATTGTAGAACATTCCATTCACCGCTACATAGTTTGTTAGCATCGACTTCTCGCTGGGGCTGAGCAACCTCAAAAACTTACTCTTCGATTCCTTGCCGGCATTCAAGTTTGAGATGAGATGCGGCTTTTGTTGAACCGGGCGTTTCGACTTCTTGGATCGAACTGCGGATGATTGGATGTTTGGTGTAGTACGGATTGAAAGTGCTGGTGCCTGTGCTGGTGATGATTGCACAGCACGCTGAGCATTGACGGGTGCCAACGGCCCATTTATCGAGTTGCGGTTGGCCAGCGATGTCTCACGCGCGATGCGACTCGCGGTAGTATCCCGTGCAAAGCGAGGTGTAGACAAAGACTTGGTGCTCATGTGCGGGCTAGGAGTGTTCATCCTATCGGTGATACTAGGACCGGCTCGACGAAGCAAAGGCTTGTTGCTGCCATTCGTTCCAACTGGCTGACGCAAAAATCTAGTCTCCGTCTCTTTGGAAGTTGGCAGGTCATCAAACGCATCCAGCTCATGGCCGTCTCCAAATTGCTTTTTGGTTTTGGGTCTGCTCAAGCGTTCCCATGTGTCGGCTGCAACCCTAAGCCTCTGTTGAGGGCTTGGGCTGCGCATAGTCGACCGTGAAAATGCCCGAGAGTGAGGTCGAAGGTCGAGCGCATTGTCCGAATCGTGGCGACGGAGTTGGCGTACAGACTTGGCGTTGACATGCTGCGACTGGGATGATGAGGCTCCAGCAGGCAAAAATGGCTGAGACTTCTTCCTTGCAGGTTGAGCTGAACTATCCATTGATGCGCGTGACGTTGGCTCGACAGGAGTTTTGGGTCGCACCCCAGTTTGGGGGCGATGATCCAGTCTTGATGCTGAAGAGTCAAACCGATAATTCTTGGAGGCCATGGCTCTAATGGCTGGGAGGGATCGCTTCTGCTTCAAAAGCTGAGCACTTGTGGTGGTAGGTTCCGCCCGCATAGAGGGGGTTGACACTTTGCTCGCCAGCTCCCGTCTACTAGGTGTAGATGGGGGGAACCGTTGGTTAGGTGAGGGTGTCGTGGGAGTAGGGATGCTCGTCACAGATGATTGGGAGCCATGGCCCATACGAGACTGTGGTCGGCGAGTGCGTGGCGGGATGGGCCCGCCGCTCTCGGATACTGGTTCCAGGGAGGTTGAGTGAGCCCGCTCATGGCTAAGGCGAGGAATTCGGGTGTTAACTGGTTTGTTGGTGAAGGTTAAGGATATTGCCGTTTTAGGGCGGGCAGGGCTACTGGGGCGAGTCTCCTTCACTTTGATATTTTTGTGGAGAGTGAGTTTTCCAGCGTTGAAAGGGTCTCCATCGCCAAAGTCGAGTCCGTCTAAAAAGTCGGGCTTATCGGCCTCTGCTGTTGAGGTCCTCTTGGGGGGTGATGGTCCCTCTTCAGGAATACGTTGGGGGGAACGGCTTTTCTTGCGTTGTTGGAGTCTTTCTTGGAAGTTGACCGGGCCAGCAGGCAAGACAAGTCCATCAAAGGTCTCATCCTCGCTTTCCATAGTGATTGAACTCGAAACACTTGGACTAAGTGCAGACGCGGAGGAGCTCCTGTTAGATCGCCCGTCACGGCGTGTGCCTCCGAATCTTGTACCAAGGCTGCCTTCACCCCAGTCAAGATCATCAGAATACGCCGATGGAGTCTTCGGTATATCTCTTCTAGTTGATAGCTGAAGCTTACCATGCGAAGGCAGCTCGAGATCCTTCTCAAAATCATCCTCGTTCTCCAGAAGACCCTCACTCTTTGAAGGTGTTGGGGGAGTAATGAGGGATACTGGTTTAGATGCAGGTCTTTGCTTGGAAATCTTGATGGTTTCGCAACCGTCTCCAAAGAAGTCATCATCTTCGTTATCCTTGAACTTGTCCAGGAGATTAATCATGGCAGGCCTAGGTACAAGAGCCTGACCAAGAGCCCGCGGGCTTGTTTGACCCATCTTGACGGGACTAGAATGTACAGAGCCAGTGCTGACCTGGCGCAGTGTCTCAGGAAAGTCGCTGTGCCTCTGAAACTTGATCTTGAGCCCTTGGGTTGTGTCGGGGAGTTCTAAGTCGTTTTCCCAATCTTCTTGGATGATCTTACGGATCTTCTTGCCTCCAAGTCTCTTAATAGTGCCACCCATTAGGGCAGAAGAAGGGATGTTCTTTGGTAGAGGGATACCGGCACTTTGGGCGGCAAAGATTGCATCCGAAGTTGACTTCTCATCATCTCCAGGAATGTGTACCTGCCTCTCATCCTCACCGGTCCATGACTCGAGATCTGATCGCAGAGATAGATGCGATGAGCCAGAGTCGCGGCGGCGCGAAGGCGGTCTGCTTGCACCCGAGTTATTTCGGAGAGCGAAATCGTCCCCATCCATCATGAAGTCGCCATCATCCCAGTTCTCAACAGGGTCCTCGGCTGGCTGCCGGACCTTTAATCGTAGCGTCTCCATAGTGTTGTATTGTGAATATGCTGAATCTGTAGCGCAAATAGGGTTTGGTGAAGCGCAAAGCTTAATTTGACACGAGGAGTTGGCAGAGTGTCAATTAGGTGAGACGATTGTCATCGCGCGATGATTCGCCAAACACTCTTGCATTTCCTCGAGTCGAAACGGCGCGCAAGGAAGTCGGCTGAATGGTCTCTAGGGAAGAGATCGCATCCAAAATCAGAGTTGATCGTCGTAGGAATTTGAGTTTCGCGGGGCGGAGGATCAGGAAAACCTGGCCCGTGAGATACCCAGTTGGAAATGTCGGGCTCAGCCAACAAACGCGATCGAAATTGAGAGCGTCAGCGGGTGAGAGTAAAATCAAAATGCTTAAAAAAGGTCACTTTCGAATAGGCGAAAGAATATGAATCGTCGATTGGATGATGAAGGAGGTGCAAAATTTTGCAAGAGAATTCAAGGTGTGCGTTGGAGGTGTTCGCAGGTGGTTCGGATGAGGGAGGTCGGTGGACGGTGGACGGTGGTTGGTGGGCAGATGGGAAGGAAGAACCTGTAAGAATGGCTGGTGCCCAAGCCCAGGGTGGCTGGTAAAGTGGGTCCGAAACCTTTAGGATCACCCCAAACGCTCAACTTCAGCGGACCGAATCCCACATTCCACGTGACTTGCACTTGCTGGCCCCGCCTGTTCCAGGGCCATCTGACGATTGGCCAGATCGCCTGACCAGCATTCACGAACTGACTCTGCACGCGTCGAGGTCGCGTCACTTTGCCACACCATCCATCAACAATGAGTCCAAGGAGGATTCATCTCCGGCGCATTGTGTCTATTCCTTCATCGTCGCAGATCCATCATGCAGATAGTTTGGTATGGGGCTGACTCGGGCCTCAGTGTTACAACGGAGCCGCCCTCGTGCTGTCCTACTTGTTTAAGGGCAATTTTCTAGAATTTATGCGAGCTATTATAGAGATGACAGCTCAGGTACAGATGCGTGCCTGCTGGCCAATCAAATGAATCAAGTACAGTTGTCAGGTCCAGCTCTCAGGCACCACAAATCTTCGGTGTGAGGAATTGGTTGGAATCAGATGGCTTGATTCCTACCAAGGTATGTAAGGGCTCAATAGATTGGTTGTTCCGACAATAATCATTATTGACATGCGTTGAAATCGGAATGGGCAAAAATCTAGATAGTTTCAAATATTCACTAAATTCTGGGAGTTGCTGCCCCATTGCCCGCCAGAGCTAGGGCGTCGTTAATCGCTACACCGATCTTGGAGCTATCTGATGGAGGGGACGTGTACCTGGGCAACTG